GCGCCGGCGAGTCGCCGCCCAGCATCGGCGGCCGGTAGCGTCGCGCGACGCCCACGACGGCCGGCACCAGCACCGACGTCGGGATGTTGCCCGTGTGCCCGCGGCCCTCTTTGCCCTGCGCGCACACCAAGTCGACGCCGGCGTCGAGCGCCTTGACGGCGTGCTTGGGATGCCCGACCAGGTTCATGACGAGCACCCCCGCCTCGTGCAGGCGGTCGACAACGTACGCGGGCGGCACGCCGGCGGTGCTCACAAAGAGTCGGGCGCCGCTGCGGACGGTTATGTCAATCAGCTCGTCGAGCCGGCCGCGGGTGGCGTCCTTGTTGGTCTTGCGCGCGCCGGCGCCGCATTTGGGTATCGCGACGGCGACGCCAAAGGGCAGGTCGGGCCGTGTGAACCGCTGCTTCATGTCTTGAATGGCGAGGCGGAGCTGCTCCGGCGTGCACTCGTAGCCTCCCACGACGCTGAATCCGCCCGCGTTGGCGACGGCCGCTGCAAGGCGTCCCCCAGAGACTTGCGCCATTCCGGCGAGCATGATTGGGTGCTGGCAGTTCAAGACGGTGGTGAGTGGTGTGGTGATGGGTCCCAGCATCATCGGTGTAACCAGCCGGTCTTGAATTTGTTGCTGTTCCAGCATGTTTTCTCGATACAAGTTCGTCTTCTTGCAAATATGCTTCTGGCAGGTAGAATCGAGTATAATTTTCGTCAATAGCAGAGAAAGCGAGTCCTTATCATGGGGTAAGAAAGTTGTAGCACCCTTTGATAAACATGGTTTTGCTCTTGTCAGCACAAAACGCCAAATCCCGGGGCCGAGGATGGTATTGGCGGGCAGAGCGGGTTACATCTGCCAGGTGCACGCGACACTAATTTTTTTAGCGAGGGCACTACTGGGTAAATAGTATGTAAGACCTATTATGGACAAGTGGTTATCGGATCACAAAAAAAAAATAATAATAATAAAGAGACCATGCAACACCATGGCCGGTCGAATCGTCCCATTCGGCATTGTCACTGTTCCTCAGCTCCGGTCCAAAACGGATAACGGCAGATGGAAAAGCCGTCACGTCGGACACAGCATGCAACCTTGTAGTTACAGCAGGCTAGCTTTAGGCGATCGACATGAATTTCTTCGTTTTCTGCAACAGTTTGCCCAATGTCCACCCCGTACCTGCAGAGAACAGGTATGACCACAGCTGGAATCCCGGCCAACATCGGATATGCGCACCGTCGCATCCTGTGCTTTGAGCCCCAACTGACATATATACATACCCTTGTTCTTGTTAAGTCGACCGGCCCACTGTGGACAAGCTACATTTTAGACTATTTTTTGTCTTTCGTGTGCATCGGCAAACTTAATCATGATTGATGCACAAAGGAATCAAGAAATAAAGCAACGCAGAGTTGCTAGTAGGCCGCCGGCCTTTGCACGTAGATTACCCAAAACGCCAAAGCCAAGCCAAGCCACTTCAAATGCCCTATTTCGTGGCTCGAGCTTTCGAGCCTCGATCGGAGCTCCGATGTGTGGAGCGGGGTGACGAGGGGGTGACGAGGCAAAACCTGTCGCGACGGTATTCGCGCAGCGGCTATTCAGGTTAGGTTACTGATGGATCTGATTAGATTACAGCTATGGATGGCTGGCTGAAACCAAGGCTGGAGTCGTGGGTCTTTGGACCCATCGTCTATGGATCGTGGGAATTTGGTAGAAAAGTGCAGGGACGAGGTATTTTTTTTTCTTTTTTAATTCTCAGTTGATATAATATCAATCATATACAGCATGTGAAAGCCCAAGGTCCTCGGCTCTCTTATATATTATCCCTCGCCCGGCGTGGTATACTGAAGTTACCAACACCTGTGTGGGTTGTCTGGCAATTTTTCCATCATTTTGGAAATCTTTGCGAATTTTCGAGCCAAGGGTGTCACCTACCCGGCCATTTGATCTTTACCCCGTCGGCAATTGCCTGCGCAGAGGTTTCTCCGCCGCGGTGGCGTGGTGGCGGCCGCGATTCGACACTGGAGGCTCCGATGGGCACCCGCAAGCGCATTATTGAGAAGATACTATGGATCGATTCATATTGAACCTTGTGGAGAGTGGCTATACGAAGCCAGGCGGCACCATACGAGCCCGAAGGGCAGCCATGAGAAACTAACTGGTTGGGAGAAAAAGCTTTCCAGATCGAAGCCAGGGTGCCAGCCAACGCAGGAAATTTCGACGGCAAGGACTGACTGTTTTAGTGCAAGAATCTCATTACGTGCTTGCGCGCAAAACTTTGCAAACTTGCGCTGATTCGCAGTACTTGGGGAGAGGGGCCGACCGATGCGAGAACGCAGAATTCGAGTAGTATTGCCCTGAAGAACGGCAACGACTGGACGCGACGCCCGACACAACGAAATAAATGACGCATCAAAGCCTGCCCAGAAGCTCTAGACACCAAAAGCTTGCGGTAAGAACAAAATAAAAAAACAAAGGCTGCCAATGCTTTCTTTCTGTGTAAAGAAACCCGATGTATTAGCACATTTAGAAGGAGCTGAGGATGAGCGCTGGCCGTCACGCAGGCTCAGCAAGCAAATTACTGGCACCGTAGGGAACCTTATTCGCTGCGTCTGCACACCAATTTTTCTTTTTGATTCTGCGTAGCTATCGGTTACTTGGTAGCATCGTTTGGCGCGAACGCTCCAACCCAAGCAATTCGTGCCATGGGCCTTGCGTGCCGACACTTGCTCTGTCCCAAGAGATAAAATGCCTGCCGAGGTACTAGATTGATCAGGATAGCGAAGAGCAAAAAAATGGAAAACTGATATATGTGTATGCGTTTTATTACTTTCTCTGCAAAAAAGGTTAAATTTGACGGTCGTAGATAATAATATGGATACCGAGGACAATGAAGAAGATGATCGAAGCCAAGCGGAGCAAGTCGCACACAGTCAATGGCAACATGTCTACTAATGTCAGTGCCAGTAAAATCACTCATGTGCTTCTGTCATGGCCATTTGCCATTGTCTTGGCTTTCTGCATCCCAAAATGCTACTCTTCCAAGTTCCTCGTCACGATCTGGGCGTCATTCGCGCCGCGCCTCGATCGTCAAATTGCCAAGCGAGTGCTGCATCAACCCTAGAAGCTCGATCAAAAGCCAACTGTGACGCATTCTGTGCAGATCTAATGCGCTGCGGCAAACTCTGGTATCGCTTACTCTACGCTGCGGTGAGGCGCATGGCGTAGGGCAGCTGTGTTTGTAGATGTTGGCTAGGTAAACGCCCGTCACTGGATCTGTCTACTTATTTCAAGGTAAGTTTAATTATCCTATATAGACCTAGTAACTTTATTATCAATTGACAGAGTTGTGAAGGCCTTTTGGCATTCCAGATGGACAAAAAGCGCTTCAGCCCAAACTGGGTTCAGTTTCTGTGACCTTTTCAACAGCACACAGCACAGTAGGCGACAAGAGCACTAATAATACAGGCCGAAACCTCTACACGACAGCCCATGAAACATGACAGTGTCCATCATTATACCTTGTATCGCCATCCTCTCTCAACCCCCGAATGCGCAGTCCACCCCTGGGCCTCGTCCAGCCTCTTGTTGAGGCTCTGCGCCCTCCACCGAACCCCCAGCGCCGACACCACCACCAGCGCGCACCCCATAATCAGCAGCCCGCCGCCCATCCGGTAGTACGGCTCCTGGCTCGTCGGGTAAAAGTACGGGCTGAACCAGTGGCTCACCTGGCTGACGCAGTTGGCCACGGCAATCAGCGCCGCCTTCTTGGCCCGCGGCGCCGGCACCACCGTCGTCTCCCACGACAGCTGCAGGTTCAGCCCGCTGTACGTGCCCGAGATGAGCAGCACCAAGCCAAAGTACCGCGCGCCGACGTTGAGCGTGCCGATGAGGGCCGCGCAGCCGACGGCGGAAAAGAGAATGGGCACGACGACGTGCAAGGTGGACTCTTGGAAGCGCCCGCAGGAGTAGGCAATCAGGCAGGCAGAGACATAGGCAATGGCATACGGTGGCGCTTGGACGAGGTAGGTGGTTGTCTTGTTAAAGTTGAATGTCTTCATGATCTGCAGTCGCACAAGTCAGTGAAATGCGCTCGTGTGTGTTCGCGTTGCTGTAAGTGAGGCTTACAGATGGCAAAAAGTCCTTGAAACTTTGCGCAGTGACCAGCGCGAAATGCATCAAGCAAAATAACCACGTAAATGGATCTCGCACCGCCTGCTTCAACCCATCCCATAAACCGCCGTCTTCCTCCTCGTGCCCGCCGTTGGACACTAGGATGCGGTACCGCGCCATCTCCCGCTCTTGCTCGGTCAGGAAGCGCGTGTTGGACGGCCACTCTGGCAGCAAGATAAAGGCTGCGCAGGCTACGACAATGGATGCCATGCCTTCAATCAGAAAGAACCACTGCCATGAGCGCAGACCGGCCGTGTTGTCCATGTGTTCGAGGATGCCGGCTGCTAAAAAGCCAGAGATGATGTTGGAGATTGTGTTGCCGGCGTGCCAGATGGCCATGCGGAGAGGACTTTCTTCTTTGGTGTACCATGAAGATGTTACTATCTTCTTGTTAGATGCAATCTGGCGTCGCTCTCAAGGATGAATTGGGCATACTTAGTGTGAGCGCAGGGAAGAATGGTGCTTCAGTCAGGCCGATGAAGAATCGGCAAACAGCAAACCCGGCGCCACTGCCAAGAGGTCAACTCCCATGACAAGCTCTCCATGGAACAGAAAAACTCACTTCGTCATGGCAGGCATACAAATCGTGCCACAACTCCACATAAACATGACTGCCGGCAAAAAGTATCGCGGGTTCGTCCTCGCCAGCAGCATGTTTCCCGGCAGCTGGCCAACCAGGTAACCGACGTAAAATGTCGAGATTCCCGTGTTCCACATTGTATCGCTCATGTTTAGGTCTTTCTGCAGACCTGCCAGTCTTGCGTTTGACACGTTGATGCGGTCAAGGTAGCTACCAGTCCGACATTAGCAACTCGTGCCGCGCCGCGCCGCGCTCGATAGTGTGGCGGCTCAACTTACTTCATCAGAAACATGACTGATACACACGGCATCATTCGCCAGTCAATTATTTTCCGCACGCGCAAGTTCAACTTGTCCATTTCGTCGCTGCTAAGATGGCGCAGCGTCTCGAAGCGAGCTTGGAACTCAGTGGGTGGAATAAAGGCTCCCTCGCCGCCAACGTCTTCGATGCACTCTGCGCGGACCTTTTCTTTGGTGTCTGCGTCAACGTCGACGGCTGATGACGTGGAGTTGCGCAGGGCATCGTGACGCTCACGCTCTTCCCTTCTCATTTTGACGTATAAATGCGGGAAGAAATTAATTATTCGAGTCGTGTAATCTCTCGTTGCCTGGTTTGCACCCTGACAAGAGTCAATGGCAAAAAAGAACTTGATCAAAATTCGGATGGCCCGCGGAGCTATATACACAACCGTTTGCTGCAGCAGCATCCATGACAGGTCGGCATCATCTTGCCGTGTACGTTGGCCGAGCCCATCCTTTCATCCTTCGATGGAAGCTGTGCTGCGGGGTGTATGGGCACCACCATCAATGTGGCGTCCAAGCTACATTGTCAAATATTGCTTCTGTGGTGATTTGGCCGCTACAGGTTGGGTTAACCCGTTGGCCTTGGCTCCCGCGGGAGTGCAACTGTAGGTTGGGAAAAGCTGGGGTATCCGGGGAAGTGGAGGGGGAAAGGACTTCTTTGCCAAGCGCGGGGGGGCCTTTGGCTTGCAATATGTGACTGGTCTTGATGGGCTATCTCTTTGACAGCGGTGACAGCGGAGGACGAGCAAGCCGGTAATTACAGGGATCATGAAAATCCAAGGTACTTTACATTGCTATGCGAATTAGCTGCAGAGCAAAATTACTATCGCGGAGGCAAGTTGACAGGTACCAGCAGTAGGGGCTATTTTTAACAAGGCTCACATTAGGTGTTGTGCCTGGATGGCTCATCAAGTGCGTACTTCCCGTGGGGGGTTGACTAGCCATAGAAGCCTGTTGGCAGTGCGAAGAAATTTCAGCTCCGTCCTCTTGTTATATAGGGCAGGGTTTCGTAAGCAAGATACGTTGGACAAGCTCCAATGAATTCGCGCTTATTGGATGCAATGTCAAAAGTCTAGCTAACCTACAAAATGTGTCAAAGAGTGTGCATGAGACCGTGTCAACAAACACCCCCTTTCCCGCAATGTGTCACGTGCGCCGCCGAGATGTTGCTGACATAATATCCTCAGAAACGCCATGCACTGGCAGGGTTTGTGATCATTATGAGTCCATCTCATCAGCAAATTGAGCAGGGCCGAATTCTTCAAACTCGTATACGCCTCAATACGCTCGCGAACAGTTAACAAAGTCGGCATTGCAGATATTCTGTCAACGCTTCGCAAAATAACCGCAGAAGCCACAACTTTAATACTTGCGGTAACGCCGTGTGCGGAGCCTGCTCTGGACGACCCAAATCTCAAGTCATCCCGAACGGAACGGACCTCGAGAGCCTTTGTCAAGGGTGTAGGAAAAATGCTTGACACGATGCGCACTGTGCGAACGGCAATCAATAGCAACAAGCTCATTAAGGGAGCCTATGATAAGTGAGTCCACAGCATGAGTCGTATCACCTTTGGAGCCTCTGAGGCTCCAGGGAAACGCTGTCGTCCCTTGGAACGGTCATGAAGAACTGAGTCAAGTCGTATCTCCCCGTACCTCGCTCTCATGATTGAGACCCTCCGTAGGAAGGAAAGACGCACACACATGACCTGTCACTTGAACACGGGGGCTAACCGGGTGACTCGTCTTTCGGCGATTGTATAAAACTCTATAATTTTCGTCATGATTCTTGGTCAGGTTGACACCTGATGGGGACGAATTCCTTTGGTCCCCTTTCTCTGCAAGAAGTGCTACGCAATCAAGCTGATGATACTATAATGGATCTTAATCATAACTAGCATCGGAAATCCCACATGGACACTTCCGCTGCCAGGCAACGGAGCCTAGCCCCAGTACCCTTTTGCCTGTACATATAAGTAGGCGTCAAATAAGACAATAACAAGAAGAATAACATATTGTTCAGGCTTAATAGCGCTTTCAGTGACCGATTCTCCAAGCCACCTCCTAGCACCAAGTATGCATGACATGTCTTTTTCCGTCTGTCGCAAAGAGTACCATAAAGGAATCGGCGGAAAGCATTTCTGGCCGTAACCTACCTCGTACGGATAAAAGCACGCACCTACGTGGTGTCCCAAATTTTTCTCCTATGCAGTGGGGACAGCCATTCCGCCAGACTCTACCTGTCGGCCTCTCGGTGAGTTTCGGCGTCTACCAGGGGTTTCTGGCATCTTGGCGACCCATCTAAACAGGGCAAATTCCACTCTTTAGCTGTGAGACTGATGAAGTGGATTAAAATATAGCCCGTCGGGCCGTCGGGGAACATATGTACACGACAGCCAGCCTTGTCAGCTGCATACGTATGCCCGTACGTAGACTGCAAATTCCATCTCCAGTATCGAAGGGAAGAGTAAGAATGACTCACTCAGGAAGCGGTCATTAGTCCCATAGAATGACATCACTTTGATAGCAGGGCAATGTTTCCCGTGGGCAAGCCGATTGTCATGTAACCTTTACCTTTACCGCTGTCACGAAGATGCATCTCTGGCGGCTTCCAATGGTCCCAAATAAGCAACAAAAAGATGATTGCTAACTTGTAAGTTTCTTTAAGCAAGTGAGTTTTATCTGATACCTACAATACATTGGCGTCCCAAGCAGTCAGGGCGGGGCCAGAGGACTTGTGCACCTTGTCTGTCTCCATTGCGAAAATAACCAAAATGCAGTAAATAGATTAGCAATGCGAAATCCTACCAAGACTTACTCGAGCAAGTCACGAAGTTATCCTCTCCGCCTGCCTCAGAGTCATGTCTAATAGTTAGAGTTCTATTACCGTCTAATAATTATAAAATTCAGGGACCTTGACGTGGGCTCAGAGGATGATCCGCAAGATAGACGCCTCAAACATGATCCTGAGTCGCACAATGTGGAGTGGTGTAGACCTCAAGGCACAAGCCTCTATAGAAGTTCCTCATACACACGGACAAATTTATATACAATGGAGGCTTCAACTCCGAATATATAATGAAAGTTCATACCCGAGTATAAATTGTTTTCTCAATGTCTTCATCCTAACTCCCCCGCCATCTGTGTTGAATTGTCTCCATTTGTCAAGATGCGCTCCATCCTTTTGCTACCTCTAGCACTAAGTCTCGCCGCAGCGGCTCAAGGCGATCGAGATGAGGACGGAACGCTACGTTGCATTACAGAGAGCTCGGGTCTTGCTATCAATGAGAGCGTCATAATGGCAAGAGCGCCGAACTATCCACGCCAACCAATCAATATTGACCTCTACATGCACTTTGTAGGACCAGACGATAAGTCTCCTGAGGACCAGGTATGTTATGTTCAATGCTATTTTAAGAGAGATGCTCATGGTATTATAGCTTCGCAAAATTGCGGAGAAACAGCTTGATGTGCTGAATACCGCTTTTCGCGACTCTGATATTTCATTCACGATGCAAGATGTCCTATTCTGGAATGACGCCTTCTATGCCAGCATACAAGATGGCGGGGAACTTGCCTCGATGATCCAAAAATACCGCAGGGGGGATACCAAAACCCTCAACTTGTTCGTTCCAAAATTTCCCAGCAAAAGTCTAGGAATCGGCGGGTGCATATCGATTGACGACCTCTTCATGCTGCAAACGACCCCTTTATCTTCTGATGGCTGCTTCGTGGACTCGACTACTCTTCCTGGTAGCATCAGCAAGCGCTACAATCAGGGCAAAACAGCTGTTCACGAGGTTGGTCACTGGCTGGGGCTACTACACACTTTTGACGGTGGCTGCGACGGCGACGGTGACCACATACGCGACACACCCGCTCAAGCCTACGCGACTTATAGGTGTGATAATGAGTTCCAAGACACCTGCCCAGCAAAAGACGGCTACGATCCAATCCACAATTACATGGGGTATTCTTACGAGTAAGTCCAAACAACACTTGGTAAGCTCAAAGCGAAGATTTAACCTGCGACAGCTCTTGTATGACAGAATTTACCGAAGGACAAACATTCATCATGCACTATACCTGGAACAGGTTTCGCAAGTAGAATTGATGGCGGGAGGCTAGCGCTGGCGCCTGAGAATTTGGTAGTCAACCTATTCCTTCGTAATACCCTTAGTTACTGACCTTTTCGTTAGTCAGACCTGGCGCTTTTTAGGTCGCTTAGTAGTTGGGCTAGAATCTTCGTTGCTGCCTAAATCTGCCTTGTATATATATACTGCATACTTGTTGGCTGTCTATGCTCTCTTTGATATCTTCGTGTTCTTGGGACGTTTTGCCTTTATACTTAACAAGTACCGCCCGGTAGCGGGGCTGCGATTCCATCTGATCTCCTGGAGGTAACCTCGAATTTGCACCCCGCTTCATCGAGCTATGCATCTTCAAAGTATGTGCAGTGATCCTTGTTCACTATGGCTGGCTGATGGCCATGCATGTCTGCAGGTCCCCCAAAAGGCGGTGATATCTCATGTCGGCTTTCATCCGAGACACCTAATGGCCTCCGATCGCCGGCTTTGCTGTCGCATTTACTTCGTCCCACTTCCTGCTGCAGCTACCCACGATTGAAAATGACGAACTATAAAACTACATTCGATTGTGTCAGCATTTGTTGCCCCAGCCAGGGGCCAATGACTGATAGTTGGGCATCCCCATGCGCCTATTTAGTCACATTTAGGCACGTAGCTTCACATAACATAGCAACATGTTGCACTAAAATGTAATGTACCGAAGAGTATGCGTCAATAGCTTTCCGGTCCACAAGCAGCATGAAGAAAGAACTAATGGTATTTCCAGCAGCGCACAAAAAGGCTTGTTGTGTAAGACATCTTGTCCAAAGAGCAAGACATTGTTTGAGCAGCTCAAGGCGGTAGCTTCTTGCGCGACTCACGAAACCACGTTACGTATACTTGGGCGCACAATTAGCTTGGTCACTGCCTGATGATCATGGGTAAGACAAGATTCACCGTAGGCCAGCCACTTTTGTATAAGTTGATGTTGATCAGCAATTAACTACATGATCTGGCCCAAGTTCTCAACGGCCTTCAGCATATAATAAGAACCTGGTAGAACTTTGCAACCCGATACCCAAGTCAAATTCGTATCTTATTGAATCTCAGTATCAATCCCAGTCCTTCTTGCGCACGCCGACGAAAATTAGTAGCAACTGTCTATTCTCACCATGAAGTTCACGAGCATTCTTATCGCTGCCCTCAGCGGAGTAGCTATTGCGGTAAGTAAGCAGGAGAGATGGAGTATAATATTTCCATTCCTATACGGTAAAATACTGTTTAAAAAAACGGCGATTACTGCTTGAGCTGAATACATTGCTAACAAAGCTCAAAGGATTATGCATCTGTGGGTTGCAAAATCCCGAGAAATGTCCATTCAATGGCATAAATTAACCTGTGATTACAGTTCCGACGTTGCTACATCAGTTGCAACGGGCTTCCCATTCGCTGCTTGGTACGTCATATTTGAGCATTTTGGGGGTCTGACTAGCAGTAGTGGGCTAACACAATAGGGCACGTTAGGACGAATGTGTTCGCAGGGTAAGTGCCTTGGGCCGTTTGCCGAAGCTTTGTGCTATTATCTAATGCTAACGCTTCGATAACTAGAACCCTTGATTCGCGTCAATACGAGTAACTGGTTTGGGTGATCAATGTCGTTGTATGGAGTTCTCCGAAGGAGTTTAAGCTCGGCCGACATTTATGGTTTAATTAAAAAAATGCTTGATATTTATGCTCCGACGGCTTGATTTACGTTTTGCGTCATGCATCTGGCGCAACCATCCTGACAGCCGCCCTATAAAACTTCTGCTTGTCGTAGTTCGCTCAAGTATCTCACTGAATTTCGGCATCCTTCAGTGGCACAGGCCCTTGCGCGCCGTCGGTCGAATCGTCGTGGATTTCCACAATGCTCACTATCTAGCAAAAATCAGATACACATTGAGACCAACTGTGTGCAGTACCAATCACAGTATAATGCCAAACTCGAGCTGCTGAGTGAAACCGGTCGCGTAGATCTCGGCCTCATCTCAAAAGTATGCTGGCGATGTCAGCGGTCACAAAGCCGGTGTCTCGCAATCCTAGTGGTACCGATATTCCGAGCAGCACCTACAGTCTAGGACATGGCTTGGTACATGCACACAGTAAGACAAGTTGCATATATACTGGTGAAAATCATAAAAGCTAACATCACTGTATCCCATAAGCGAATTCGGAAGGAGTCACTCTGATCTTGTCTGGCAATTGTGTTTTGGAACGCTCTAGGAGGCTCAAGATAGGAATGCTTTTGTCATTGTGTGTGCGTGGAGTTCTCCTCGGCGGTTGAAGCTGGGCAGACCGTGACCAGTCAGCGAGGCGGTGTACCCGTAATATGTACTAGATTCAATAACTGCCCTCGTTGCTGCCTTTCCAAAACGCCCAAACAGGCACGGTGTCGCCAGAGACTCGTTGGGCTGGTGGCGCTAGGCTGCGATGATCCGCAAGTGTACTCGGGCATTCACCCGAAATTTCGGGGTATCGCACTTCTCTGGGTGGCTGCAAATGTAGAAAGGAAACTTGTCGCAGAAAAGCGCCAGAACATTATTACCAAGTATACCCCACGCCACCAGCTTGTCATTTCCCAACACATTTTGTTTCATCCATGCAGATCAGTCTGAGAGCTCAGCCAGCCACTCGTACTGCTCAGCCATTCGAAGCGAAGCCACTTTCCATGTCTCGGCAAGATAATGTACATTTCTCTTTGATACCGTTTTATGGGAAGTTTACGGATCGTCATGACAGTCGTCCGTTGACTTAAGCTCTTTCGCAAAACGCAGCTGAGTCTGAGACAGCTACTTGATCATCGTATTTGATATCTGAATTATGAATGGCTGTATTACCGAGACAAAGAAGTATCATTGTTTTCTATCGTGCCGGGTTGTCTATAAACGAAGCAAGGTCCCCAACTAGAGGGTTTATAGTACAATCTGTATAATTCTGATCGTACAGACCACCTTTATCTTTTTGAAGCAACACTTCTTTTCGCGTCACAGCTCCCAAAATGAAGATCTATAGCATCATCGTCCTTCTTACTGCCGTCGCAGTTGCCCAAAAGTGTAGCGATGATCAGCCAGACAGAGCCTGTTGTCTTCCCACTTGTTGGAATCCAGAGGTTCCATGCCCTCCTTTCATGGTACTGTCATATTAATACAACACATTGAATCGAGCGAAGCCCAAGGCTGACAAGAGCTGCAGACCTATGTTTACGACACGTGCTGCATCGAAGGCAGAACAGATTGATTGACTGTGGCGTCGAACCTCTTTCGTTATCGACCGCCACACGAATGGACTGGGCTGGATAGTGCAGGAGGGTTCCAATAAGCACACCACCGAATTTTGTATGGCTGCAACCTAAGTCTAAGTCGTTTTGTAGCCAAACTGCATGGAAAATGTTGAAAATTACCCCCTAAAGCTCCTTGAACGCTGTACCCATCTCTTAGTCGAAAACCTTATAAGATACCATTGGCAGCCGCTAGGTTCCTACTGGGTGTGGTGTGTCTATTTTATATGCCTGTTAGGTAACTCTCTCCGTAGTAAAAATTAACCCTGGTCAGATGAAATACATCTTCGCCCTTGTAGGTACGTCACCCCCCTTCTCGGTACCAGACTAGCATACAAGACTTACCTATTACACTTAGTAGTCGCCGGAATGAGACTGAAATAGGACCATGATGTTTTCTGGACACTTTTCGACGGGCATCTATGTAGTATCGAATACAAGTTTTATGTTTAGTTGTAGTTTATCATTAACAGTAACTTAATATATATAATAGAACCTTACTTTAAAATTAGATTTATAACTAAAGTATATATTATAGTAATAAATAATAGAAATAGTGAGTAATTTTATAACTCTGATGACTAGATAGGTTATATTTACTTCTTTATAAGAGTAAGCTTTAGTCTATGTATAGGCCTACTTTTACTAGAACAACGTGATATTAGTCTAGAGTATTTGTATCTGATCGATATAAAATATTATATTAGTAGAGAGATACTATCCTTTTATGAACATGTATCTATATATAGCAGGAAACTATAATATCTGTAGTAGTATAATATACCGAGTTACGTGACGCACTTTGATACGCCATGTATTACTGAGATAACGTGTGCTGCTGTGCCGAACAAAGGCGTGGGGCCGCAGCGACGAGCTCCGGCTGCTACGATTGGCTGAAAGCGCGATTTGGCCAACTCTGTCCAATGGTCACCATGACGATATACCACCCTCCCCCTTACATAAAGAGATTATCTTGACTTTTCGAGACTTGCGCAAAATCTTTACCCAATATTTCTTGGTATCTTTTACAGCAATGAGTTCTGATCCGCCGCAGCCACCCTTCTTGCGGCCAATTCTACCACGTACCGAACCGTTGCCACGAAGACCCCCTATCAGAAACCTTCCGCCCCGACGTCCTCTGGTCCTGGTGGCATGCGAGGGTTGCAGAAAAGTCAGAACCAAGGTCTGTAATTGCCTTGGCGGCAAAAAAAAAAAAATAACTGGTGCATCTTTTGGTGAATTCTCCATCTCCTGACGGGCTCGCAGTGCAATGGTGCGCGACCAAGTTGTTCCGCTTGCGTCGGCAAGAATCGAAAATGCATCTACCGCGCAGAGGCCGGCGAGTCAAGCGACGCAGCCCTGAGGCGAAAGAACCGTGAAACAGAAGAGGAGCTACGCAAGCTCCGCGGCTCGCATGACGCCCTGCGACGGGTCGTAACTGCCTTGCAGACCTGCAAAGACGACGAGGTTGCAGCAATTCTCCGACGTCTTCGTGAGACGCAAGACGCCACAGCAGTCGCCACGCAGCTCGAAGGAGGTGATTTACTCCTCCAGCTTCATGTTGCCCCCGAGACAACATTTCGCTTCAGTTTCCCCTACTGCCGCGATATGCCTAGGGCGCTTCTCAGGCCCGACAACCCCTACCTCGGCTCAGTGCTCTACGAGTCGGCCTTCACATCGGCGTCGAATCAGAGCTCAGCGATGATATCAAGGATCGAGAGGCTACAACCGCAATACGTAAAACCCTATACTGCAGCGCTTATTGCCGATACTCGACTAGGAACGGTCAACGTCGCTCGCTGGACAAACGTATGCGCCGACAATGCGATTTTGAGGCATCTGCTGCACATTTACCTACTGTCGGAATATCAGCTATTTCCACCTTTTCATAAAGATTATTTCATCAACGACATGGTTCTGGGCAGCACCCGCTTTTGTACTTCTTTGCTGGTCAATGCCGTGCTGGCTCTTGCATGCGTAAGCACACTCTCCTAAACCTCTCAACATCAATTCGTTTAGAACTTGTTCACCTTTACCGAGTCCAGTCCGTCTAATGATATTTGAAACCCTAGAGCTGCGATCCGGAGCTTTCTGACCGTGCAGAGTATTGGAACCCCCGGGCGCTTTCTTACAAGTTCTTTGCTGAGGCAAGGGGGCTCTGGGACCTAGAGCGATTATCGCCAAATTCCGTTACCACAGTTCAGGCAGGGATAGTGATAAACACTATTTATAATATGTACTCAATGGATAGAATCGGACTTACTTATGGTGTGCAAGCGGCAGCCATTGCACAAGAAATGGGCATGTTTGACGCAGACCGTGGCACATTGGACAAGAGTCAGCGCATTGTTCAGGGTTTCACCGCCTGGGCTTTGTACTTTTTCCTCGGGCAAGTACACGGTATTATGAACCCGCAAGAACGACAACAACTAACACAGTTGCCAGTTTCCAGTGCTATCATTTTCTGATACCATGCCCAATCACAGATCAGCCAGCGACAACTTTTCCCGACCCTGACGAGGAGCCGCAGTGGTACGGCGAGTTCTTGTTTCAGTATCCTTCGAATCAAACGTTGGTCCGCTTGAATTACCCTCAATGGACTTGGTTCAAGTTTAGACTCCTACAAATCATACGTCCAGTAGCATCTGAGCTTTTTGAAAAGGAAGAAAAAAGTAGTATAGCGCAGCAGCACGTCTTATTTTCGGAAACGATTTCTCGTCTGAAGAATCTATACGCGGCACTACCGGCCTCGCTATTACCTTCGCAGATCGTGTTTCCTCTCCATATGGGACTGCAGTACGTGCTTCACTGATCTCTATTGAATTGCTAGATGCTGACTTAGTCTTAGCTTGTGGTATCATAACATTATGATTAACATTTTGCAACTCCTGGCTCCAGAGGTGGCTTCAGAGGTGGCTTCAGAGGTGGCTCTAGAAGCAGCTCCAGAGGCAGGGGCTCGCCTATCGTCGGAAATGCATGGCGATGTAGAAGCGCAGTTGGTATATTCCAGAATCTGTTTTGAGACGATTATGAGATTATACTACCTTCGAAATGGTTACGAGGGCAGCGACATGATTCTTGTGCACTTCCTTACCGTCCTTTCATTCATGGCGCTGGGAGGAAATACTGGGAACTCTAATCCCGGCGCGGGGGCAGCAACCTCGCAGGAGGAAACCAGAAGCACACTGATACTTACCGCGAAAGGCCTCTACGAACAAGGCAACAACTTTTTCGTAAGCGTCACCATCTTACACGTCCTCCGAATCCAGATGGCCGCCGAAGATGTTGACATTCTAGGCCAATATTGCGCAGCGGTCAGCGACGATCCTGGCCAAAAGAAGGCTCGAGCACTGTATTCCAGGGCGCAATATCCGTTAAACATTGTCAAGATGACAGATACTCCTGAGAATCAACGTTTAGAGAATATGATTAAAAAGTATGAAAAGCTTGGCGTGGAGCAGACGAGTCAAGCATAAGCAAAGACACTAGCAGCTAGTCTTTTCATAGTAGTTGACATGTCTCTATTATATTATGATAATATATTAAACCTGGAATTCGGTCAAGTAAAATATAGACTATGCCAGTAGGTGTGTGATGGTGTAGAGCTAGAAGCGGCCAACTTTCTCTCACCCACATAAACTAATAACGTGTGTGATTGTCTGAGGGCATGGAAATCACTTCAACCAATTTTACTATTCTTATGGCTAAGACATATTCAAGAGCCCGTCGCTGGCAAGCTATGCAGCAGCACCTTTATCTGTTTAATCCTTGCTCGCAGAAAACTAAGCAGTTGTTTAGAAGCTAGTACGCATAGCAGACGTAGCATTGATATAGAAAACCTGGCGTGCGTGGCAGGGACGCTACGACTGGGAACATACTGCTAGTTAAGGGTCAATTTATCAAAATAGACGCTATCTCAAGTGCTGACGTGTTTTTACCCATAAGTTGAAAGGTTGCATCATCTTGAAATCTGTTGTAGATCTTTAGTCATGTGTAATATCTATGATGTAAGGCATAATGGATGCTAATTTTCACGCGCTACTTATGCGTAACGTTGAATGCTGTCATCCAAGCCCTGTTTACCGCCGTTCAGGCAGCACAGGAAGAGTCTCCAACGAAGACGCAGCCTTGAGGCAGTGATGCTACAGCATTCTTCAATACGCTACAGAACAGGTGAGAACTTTCACCGCTTTCTGGCCAGCCTCGATGCCGCGCAGTAATGGAAACTTGACTCGGAGGCCACTCGTGCCTGTAGCACTGTGCCTCGAGAAACCTTCAGTCTCATGTTAGATGCTGTTCATTTGACCTTAGCAACAAGATGCAGTCGAAACTTTATCTAGACCCGAAAGATGCCCAGCGCCATGTAACAACTGATGAAATTTAAACTTGGCATTCAAATGTGTCTATGTCATGATCATTATACTCTACCAAAATCATGTATAGCACAACGGTTGTGATAGCAAGTGAAGTCATGTTCTTGTGCACGGATGACGTATAATCTTGAGCGAAGGGGTCGTGTTGATATGATAGACAGTCGGGTCGAATCGAAGTTTGCGTGTCTAGTAAAGTATTATTCTCTCACGTTGGCTTACTCATTTTTCCACTTATCTTAGCTGTAGAACGTGACACGTTAGTGCGCGCAATTCTTCTTTCTCAACCCGGCCATGAAATGAGGACAGTTGTGTGGCTATGAGGTTTTGACAAACTATCGGTGTTGTCTTGTTTGGCTCAAGACTGAAGTCAGAATGTGACCTGGTATACGCGTTCATGAACGTGACAAAAGCCAATTCGCAGTATTGTGGGAGTAATGTAAGTGCTGTTGTGGGTTTCATCTGGCTCTTCTCTTCACATGATGATACTAGTCTTGTCTCACTTTGCTCAGCTTATGGACCAACGTAGTAATTTCGTATGGCTCCGCTTAATGTAATGTGATGGCGTACGGAGTAGATATTGGTAGTAACGACTTCTGCTACAGTAACGTGCGGAGTTTTGTCCCGGCAGTGACCGCCACTAGTCTCAAGGAACGGGTTGAGCCAACTAATTGTTTATGACGCCTTGGATAATTATAAAGTCTAAAGTCAAATCGACCGCAAGGCATTTTTATGTTGCCTTTCTGCGCTTCTCAGCAAACTTGAATCACATGATCAACCTGGATTACGCAATGAGCGCATCGAATGCAGAAGAAACACAGCAGGAGGACGTTTGGCGTTGCTCCTTTTGTAATATCGAGAAGAAGACAACTGATTGCCGTCCATCTATCATACAGAGCGCAGAGAATTTGAGCACCTGTTCTGTCTCTCTGCAATCTCGTCTTGAAGCAGAAAAGATCCATTCTCTTGCGTCGCGAACCCAGCTTACAACACTATATCAGGGCCCCACGAACGGGCAATTCGCCGAGTCAGATTGCGACGCTGAAAAGGCATATGACTGGAAATGGATTGCTTTCCGAGATGACAGGCCTAGAAACTGTTGGAAGATGGCACCACAAACCAGCGACTCTGAGGACGCAAATAACGAGCTACCATGGACCCAATGCGCCGCACGTGCTGCACTCCCTCAGGTGGAGGTGTATCCACGCGACGAAACTTATACTCTTGATTCTGAGTATCTGGTAGCGGCACATGCATCGGCCAAGCAATTTGATGCTGAAACGCGACGCCGTGGTGCAGACTGGTTTCACAAGCAGTCCACGATTTACTCCAAAGGTCACGTAGCTAGTGGCCTGCTTGAGGCACTGCAAGCGACCGGATATACCAAACTTGAGGCTGCTATCCGTGCTCTCAGCATCTTCTCAGAAATGTTTGTGCTCGCCGTTTCTGGTCGCAAAAGCGATACTCTTGCGTGCTACAAGGGTGCAGGCGCCATCGCTACGGTCCTCTTGACGGATTATGTCGGATCGGTCGAGGCAGGCGAGATTCAGGCTCTGGTAGCCTACACTGCGGTTGTTGCAAGATCGGACTATATACCAGCGCCATCTTCAACCTTTCTATCCAATGTTATCGCGCACAACACCCAATGGATTAGTGATGGCAAGGCACTTGTAGCTCAAGGTGGCTGCTCCTCTCCGCCAGGACAAGCCCTGAGCATCAGTGAATACATGAGACCGAGATGGTCGGATGGTGCATGCGATGCCTACGTCGGCATTACCATGTATTCCAAAGCCATTGCACGTGGTTACGACAGCGTTGGCCGCTTTGTGCAATCCCTCGGAAGGGCTTGCCCTTGGGCCCAGGCTATGCATGATACAGTGTTTTACTACAACGACATCACTGATGTTGTAAGCGATATTGCTTTGGGTGAACCGATGAATCTGTTTGTTCAAGCACGCAACGTGAGCGCAGAGAACCTCGTTTGGCTGGCCACAGCTTTGGCGACACTGGACTATGCGGGGTCCATGAAGTGCAACGGCTGCCATTATCACAGTGATAGCGAGGATTGGCATTACGGCTCATGCGTATGGTACCTTGCCGCAACAAGATACTGCACGGCGCCGCAGCTGTGGTTCACATGGGCCAAAGAAGACACTGCGCCGCGCTGGCACGAGCTGAAATGGCAAACTTTCACCCATGGCTGGGGAGAAGGCAGATGGCCGTTTACCGACTCATGGCACAAGTCTGATGCCCCTATTGACCACGATATAGTGGAACACTTGGCTTTGCGGCTCGGGGTTGATGATGCGAATGCAAAGAGAAAGATTAGATCAGTAACGGAGGGAAGCCCAACTGTGCCAGAGATGGTGCGAAGCTTTATACTTTTGGCTTTTCCACATGATACCTACGTCGCATGCATACAGGACACTGTTTTGCAGTTTTTGAGAGCACATGGCTATGGCACAGGATCATATACTCTATCCGAGGCTCGTTCCGATGGTGCTGCCTACAACTTGGCACATTCGTCTCTACTCGACAGATTTTACTCAGAGTTGGATATGGCTGAAAGAAGCAAAGCAGTCAGGCTATATTGTGGGCTCGTCTCTGCACTATGCGAACTAACAGACCTCGATATCTTTGGCCGAATTGCAGCTTTCAGCGCTACTGCATTAGCCCACAGCAACACCTAGGTTTTACACTACTCGCGAAATATACTATCCTAGATTTTTTTTGCGCCGTCTATCTACAACGTGATTATATACTACTTGCACTGTGACTGGATTGCTAAGGTAGTAAAAAACTATTATACTTTTGCGCCGCAAAGTTTCAAAGGCTCTCGAAAACCAGCGTTTAGAGAACATGAATAAAACGTGTAAAGAATATAGCGTAGAATAGACAAGTATAGGGACCAGCTTAAGCACTAGTAGCCAGGCTTTCTAAACACTTGGTGCTAATTTTCCCTCTGATTGAGGTAGTATCTAGAAGTTGAATCAAGTCTAATAATAATAAGAATTAATCTTATTACCGGTTTTATCTCTATAATTGTTGTCACTGTAGGCTGCCATAACCTCACGTGCCGACGCCCGCTCAGCTCTTGTCCACAAAATCCGTCGGTGTTTATTGGTTGGCATCGTACATTCCCGCGGCATCTTCTACCCGTCTTTCCGCCACAACTTGTTTTCTTTATCAATCTACCCGTTTCCCGTTTCCCGCGGCAGACAGGTAAAAGCAACCAACATGCACCACGCAGCGCAGACGGGGAATCTCACACTTGCAACAGATGTCTCCCGCAGAAAACCACCGACGCCGTGCTCCCGCGGCTTGCTCATTTTGTCGCCGTCGCAAAGTTGAGTCAATCAATTCCCATTGGGCTCCCTCCCGTGGGCACCAGCACTGATGGATGATGCGGGCTAGATCAAATGCAACGGTCAGAGACCCGTTTGCTCAAACTGCGCCACCTACGGCGAACAATGTTTTTTTGAGCCCGTAAGTGAGCCGGCCAAAGAAGCAGGTCGGGCCCGGCACGTACGCGAGAAGAGCCAGCGCCCCCGCCAAAAGCCGACCGCGCGACGTCGGGCGGAGAGGCAACCGACCGCGCACGCAGAGGCGCAGACCGGCGAAGGCGAACAGGCCCGGACATCTATCGAAGCGGCAGAGTCTAGTCCTGGTGAGGATGGCGATGATGCAGCCAGCGTTGAAGGTGCTACTATGGGGGCCCAGCCCTCGCCGGATTCGCGTGTCAGTCGCATTGTCACCTCTGCAAATGGTATTTCTAGCTATCATGGACGTACGAGTGCGCTGTTTGAAGATAGCATCCCCGAGCGCCAGCAGGCTGGCGACGTACAGCCGCGCATGCCAGAAGACTGGATAGAGCGCGGCCTCGTCGCAGAGGCAGCCCGACAAAGTGAGTTTCTCCGCTCAGCCGACGTGGAAACAGGAGTTTTTATTGACATGGCGTAGATCAGATGGAGCAGCTCAACTATCGCAACGGCAAACTCGACTTTGACGGCATCACGCCAGACTTGGGAATGCATCTTCTCTCCTTGCACTGGAACCGCCAGCACCACTCATTCCTCGTCACCTACCGACCCGCCTTTATGCGCGACATGGCCTGCAGCGGCCCTTACTTCTCCAAGCTACTTCTCAACGCAATCTACTTTGGCGCGGCAAAGTTTAGCCCGCGGCTCGAGGTGCGCAAGGACCCCGGCGATGTGCGGACCGCGGGGTGGCAGTTTCGGGAGCGCGTGAGAACGTTGCTGGGCGAAGCGCTCGATCGCAGCGACATTACGACGATTCAAGCACTGTTGGTGATGACAAACTCGCTGTTTGCGTTGGGCGATGAGCGGAGTGCTGCTTGGTTGTATTCGGGGTTGGCGTTTCGGATGATTACCGACTTGGGTCTGCATGTGGACTTGTCGAATTCGAGGAGGTTCACAGATGAAGACTTGGAGATACGAAGAAGAGTATTCTGGGGAGCATTTGGTACGTCGTAACTTGTATGTTTCCGCGCGCCGTCTTCAAGTAAATTGACTTTGCTAGTTGTTGATAAAATCCAGAGCCTATATCAAGGGCGACCAGTCAGCCTCAAGGAATCAGACGCGCTGGTCCCCATTAGGTTCCTGGATGTTTTTGAAGAACTAGAACCATGGACGCCATTCGCGTACTCGGAGTCGAGGTCAGACTTTGAAGTTACGCCAGCATACAGCACGTCGACATTCGCGAGCTTATGCAGGCTGTCGCTCGTCATGAGTGATATCCTGAGCACCATCTATACGGAACGCAGCTCTGACCAAAGCCCATCAAAACTCGCTGGCGAGCGAATAAACCTGCACAAGAAACTGAGAGATTGGGGGGAATCTCTTCCATCTCATTTGGAAGTCGATGCCACTAAATTACGTGAAAGACAATTTCCACCTCCCCATGTCTTCAGCCTCCAGTGCGTTCTCACCTCCCTTTGTGAACAAGTAAGTCACTTTCCTTGTCACAGCTAACACCCAGCAGCGCAATGCATCACGTCCTCGTCATTCTCCTTCATAGACCATTCGTAGCAGATGGACATTTGTACAGCACCTCTCGTCAAATCAGCGTCGACTCTTTCATGAAGTGCGCATCGTCTGCCTCGGCCATTGTCCAGCTCCTGCGCGCCTACCACGCTGCGTTTTCTATCCGGCGAGCGCCCTATCTCATCTCTTATGCAACCTACGTCGCGGCCACCATACATGCACGCATAGCCACGCGACGCAGCCGCGGCTCAACCGCCCACGCCAAACTTGCCACCTGTCTTGCCGTGTTTCGCGAAAACCAAGAGACCAACTCGGCTGTGCGCAAGGCCAATGTAATTGTCGAGAGTCTGATGAAAAGGTTAGGTGTGGTGGTTGTGCAACGCGACTCTGCCGGTGCATTGAGGATGGATCAAGATTCGAGAGGCAATGACGGAGCTGGCCCGCGTCGTCGGCAGTCAATTTCGGTGTCGAAGCCTGTGCAATCCCCGTCACCTTTGGCCTCGGACCGCAGCACATCCGGAGGCCCTTCAAGGATGCCTGACCTGCAAGATGGAGGTATAGCTGCTGGTGTTGCAGCTAGCTCTCCGGCGTCAGATATGGTGGATGTGGACGGCATCATCCAGAGCTTTCTGCAAGAAGGCGAAGCTGCGGGCGGCAGAGCTGCTCCTCCCGTGGCAGCGCAAGTATATCCACAGCAACAACCCCTGCAGCAGTGGTTTCCACCAAACAGTCCAGCTCCAGCTCCAGCCTCGCAGGGTCATGTATACTCTGCGTCTACGCTTCCCGGCCAGGTGCCGATGGTCTTTGGGGTAGTGGGTCACGCACCCGGTCAAGGTACGGCGGGCGCCGAAGCTGCTCCTGCCATGGTAGCGTCGTGGCAGCAGCAGCAGAGTAGCCGCGAGCATGCCGGCTTGGAAGATCCCTTGTTTGGATTTAACGGGTCTGCTCTGGATGATTTCTCGTTTTTGGGCTGGTGATGCCGCGGGAGCACGGGAACAGGGAGCCTGGCCTTTTTGTAAGTACGCTGGGGCGCGGAAGGTGGAGCCCCGCGGGACGGGAGCAGTCACCGGGATTTGCATGGAACTCGGACTTGACGAGAAGTAAGTACAGAGACGGTGACGACTAATTAGATGCGTCTGTGTTTCTGTTGGTTGGAATTGTTGGATGTTTTGTGGATATGTTCGCGGACCTCGCTTCACGAATATAAGGTAACCCGCTTCTCAGGCGAAGCTTGTACTATCGTTGCAGCCAAGAATCAAGAATGAATTGCTTTCGTCATCTTGCCTCTAGAAGATTGCTAAATACCTGTTCCAAATCTTCGAGTTCCCACACTACGGTGCAGAATATCACACCTGCGGCCCTCGAATTTATTCTCAGCATGGGTGCCGCGAGAAAACCGAGAATGCACACCCTTCCTTGCGTGCTCATGCGAGCTGGGACATCCAAAGGCCTGTTTATCCACAGAAACGACCTCCCAACACAAGAAGAAGACTGGAGTCCGCACTTAATCTCTGCTCTTGGCTCGCGCGGATGCGATCCTCGCCAGATTGATGGCATCGGAGGCGGCACGTCGACCACCTCCAAAGTTGCCGTTGTCTCACCGTCGACACGCCCCGGGATCGACGTCGATTTTACATTTGTGCAGGTTGCTGTTGGAAGGGAGTCTGCTGATTTCAGCGGAAATTGTGGCAATATGGTGTCTGGTGTTGGACCGTTTGCCGTGCAAGAAGGGCTGGTGAGACCGGCAAAGGGAGCATCTGTTGTCAGTAAAATTGAACCCGGACTCAAGGATTACCGCTGATTCAATGTAGTGCAAAGTGAAGATATACAATATCAATACAAAAAGAGTCATTGTTGAGACGGTCGAGATTGACCAAGACGGCCAGTACAGGGAAGACGGCGAGTACAACATCCCTGGTGTCAGCACAAGCGGCAGCGAAATCAAGGTGGCTTTCATCGACCCCGCTGGAAGCATGACGGGCAAACTATTCCCAACAGGCCAACGCCAACAGGTACTTGCCGTGCAAGCCCGAAAACATCACGACGGCTTCAAAGCCAAAGTTACGCTCATCGACGCAGCCAATCCATTTGTCCTGATTGATGCAACGTCCATATCGCCGCTTCTGCAAATCTGCTCCCCCGAGGAGCAAGACGAGCTCGTAGAGTCTATTCGCATCACCGGCGCTGTGCAGATGGGCCTCGCTCGCGATACAGCCGCGGCTTCCAAAACGCGCGGCACGCCAAAAGCGATCCTCTTGTATCCGCCCGTCTTTACACACAAAGGCGCGGCGGATATCCGAGTACTCTCATACTCAATGGGCAAGCCGCACCCCAGTCTCCAGCTGACAGGCGCGGTTGGTGTTGCTGCTGCGTTGCGGTCGGCGGGGACTGTCGCGGAACAGCTGTCGCGGGCTCCGGTCCTCGTGGGCGGTGATGCTCCGCTCACACCAGAACGGACGCCAAGCCCAGCTGATATTGATGATGATTTCGCATTGAAAGGAACGGCATCGAGTGAGGTGCGGATTGAGCATGCCGAGGGAGCCGTTTTGGTTGAGATTAGGATGGAAACGGATGACAATGGCGAAGAGCGCGTAGGAAGCTGTGCCGTTTCGAGGACCGCTCGTAGGCTTTTTGAAGGCAAAGTTCGATACTACGTGTAAGATAAAGGGCACAATTGCGCTTTTTAGATTGTTTGTACCTGAATAGACAGCAATAAACGCCACAATAGCTGCGTTAATGGCCTTTCCACTACTGCTCAGTCACCTGGCCGCGGGGCTGTACTGTCCCTGTTTAGTTACTACTTTCTCATGCTTCTGGGCCCTGTGTACTCTCAATCGTGGCTCCTCAGCTGTAGAAAGGTATCCTATTTCGCAGTATCTCAGCGTCTCCTGTTGGGGATTAACCCGGATGGGTTTGCCAGAAGTAATGCTCCCTTTGCCGTCATATTCTTCCTTTCTGGCATCAATTCATACACATGAAGGGTACTCTGACTGCGCAAAATAGGTTGTTGTAGCCTCATAGAACGATTCTGGTCCTCCTGATCGTGGCAACTGAGAGGCGACACATTCTGCCAAGAGCAGAAGGCGTCAGACCCTCTCCTTGCAGACAGCATGATGATTAAGTTTGCCGAAGGCTGCGCCGAATTAAATACAATGAAACATTCCATGCATCATAGACTCAGCTTGACTTTCTCCTCAACTGTTCCCGCAGCCAGCTAACTTTGATTCACTAGATGTGCCAATGCTGGGCCAGCTCCTGTCTCAAGACTTGACATCGCCAAGAAATTCCATCCACCTTGTGACACGCGCGTTATTCAACGGCACCGGCATATATCATGTTTCTTGGACAGCGGTGTCCCAAACGTGGCGGGCTGAGAGACAACGCCGTGCAGACACAGCCTCGATGGGGATTTCGGTGCATGATGTAGTCGTGGCGCCGGCCAGAACCGGGCGACGTCCGCGGGGTTGAACTTGATTGGGGGAAGTCAGAAATGGCTGAGATATAGTCTCTAAAATATTGTATCTAATTACATATTGTGTACATCGTGGTTGTTGCCGGAACTTTGGGCACGTTCACCCTTCAAGGCACCGATGCCGTCATGTGGGAAAACATGAAGAGCAGGAGCTAGCGGGGTCCCGTACATATTTATCAGGGTAGTTGAAAGCCATGTGAAGAACAATACCGTAGATATTATGATAGAAATGATGCAAAAAGGTCCAAGAAAGGGGCAGCGAGACGCAACCTCGGTGACACTACAATGCTTGATGCTACAGCCAGATGAACGCTGCTTTGTCTACAACTATCAATGTTCAGATTGCTAGCACCGAGAGCAACTACATAATCATCTCTGAGATATCTCATCAGTAAGAATGAAACATCATTTTGGTCTTTCCTGGTTCCTAGTCCGTAGATAGATTGTAAACTATACGCGCCACGCTATCAAATCCAAGGACGGACCCTTCTTGCAGCAACTACACCGATGCAAGTCCCAATAAGCGACCTTGAGCGCCGATTTATGCCAATGTATGGCCTCATTTGATTGCACGTGTTAAACCACGTCCCGGTTATAACCGGCGAGGTAGTGCTGCTGCGACACTGTTCTGCCTTGGCCTGTCAGTGGGCGACCCCGCGGCAGTTCCGAGTGCAACGTCCCTCCTCCTTCTCGGAGCTCTTTGCGGCGGCCACCCTAATAGACGTTGTCCGCTTGCAGCGACTACGCTCGTTGAGGCTTTTCGTTTTGGTATCACGAGGTCGCGGGTGCATATATGCACGTCTGCCGTCGTTTGTGAGAAGCAATCCCTTGGCAAAATACTAGGCATCAACACTTGCTTCGAGATGCGTTTAGCTCTGACAAATCTGCCGTGGTAGTCTCTACTTCATAGAGTCTTCCGAGATGTAGCTCTGACTTACAGAAATGTGCGAGATTGTGCCCTTCCCCGCTCGCCTCCTGCGGAGAAGTCGACCAAATATAAACCCCTCCATCGCTCGGATACATACATGTGCGTGCTCTTGTCAGTTACCTAGCATACTATTCCAGTAAAAAACTAAAAAGAATCTCTACCAAGGAAAAAAAAATAAAAGCAGAAACTATGGCCTATGTCGGTGCAGCTCAGAGACGCCAAGGCATCTATTATCAGGAGCACTAGGAAGCTATGGGCTATCCGCTACTCAACTCGCGCTACCACTCCACGGTCAAGGACATATTTGTCGAGGGCACTCTGGTAGAGACTTCCCAGGCCCAGACCAACGTAGAGCGCGAGGTTACGTATATATTCAAAGTCCCGCTCAAGGCGTCCGTGATTAGCTTCACAGCCAAGGTAGGAAACACAGTCGTCAAAGCGATTATGGATGAAAAGGCCAAGGCCGACAAAAAGTATCAAGCTGCCAAGAGTGCTGGCGTCCAGGCATAGAAGCTTAACAAGGTCAACAAGGAAGGTACAATATGCCTCTCTATTCGCTATTTCTAATTTCTTTAAATAACATCCCCAACTAACCTACTGCCCAGTGTTCCAAATTAGCTTAGGCGCCGTCTCACCCAATTCAACCATTAAAGTGCGGTAAGATTTACTAGAGCCTTGCCTGTGAGCCTCATTCTAAACCAAGCTTAAATAGCGTGACCTATGTCTATATCATCTCAAGTAACACCATCAAGGACTCGGTTCGCCTGACCATCCCCGCGGGCTTAGCGGCCCGTCCCGGAGCAGGGCCTACAAGTGTGATGACTATACCGACAGCTCTGACTAGCTCAGACGCCGTCATCATTACTATCAGCATCAAAGTCAACCGTTCTAAGATGATTTTTAATCTTAACTGCCTCACTCACCATGCCAGCATCACTAATAACTTCTCTAATAATTCCTTTAAGGCGCTCCCGCCTATTAAGAAGCGCAAGGTTTACAAGTAGTGGAAGTCTTATATTAAGTTCACTAGTAGTACCTTTCTAAAGCACCACTTTATTCTCTCGTGGACGGTCCCGAGGATCGATCAAGCTCATTACATCGTCAAGCAGCTTTCGCCGCCGCTCCCAGGACAGTCTCCTACTCTAGCCTTGGCGCTCACGCTCGTTTCCAATCTTCGCCTGAGTGTTGAAGAGCATGGTAAGTCATACCCCATGGCAGATGGGCTGTTACGGTCAGACGCTAATATTCATGGCAGAGTACATCTTCCTCGTCGACTACAGCGGTAGCATAGAGGGCTCACGGATTAAAATGGCCAACAGCGTCGTCGAAACCATGCTAAACCAGCTGCCAAGTCACACTGGTTCAACCTTTAACATTTACAACTTCAACACCTCGGCGTGGTCCATTGTGGCGGGCGGCAAGAGCGTTATATATAACAAGAAGAACGTCTCGACAGCGGTCAGCAATTTCCAGGTCAGCGCCACAGGCGGCACCAACATTGACGCAGCCTTAACCACGGTGCTGAACCAGCGCGACGCATCCAAGCGCCGCTGCTCAATCATCGTCATCAGCGCGACGGGCTGGACTAGGGCGTCACGGCCGCGATGCGTACCGTCCAGCAGCACGCCGCCACAGCCGCGGGCCAGTCCAAGCTCCTGCGCGTATTCGTCATAGGTCTAGGCAACGATGTCTCGCGGGGCATGTGCGAAGGCCTGGCCCGGGCCGGCGCCGGCGCAACCGCCTACATCAGCAAGACGCTACTGCAGGACCGCGATCACGGCAAGGAAAAGGCGGAGACTCTCATCAACGCCATCAACTACGCGCCCGTGCGTGTGCGCTCCATTGACTAGCATGTAGACCCGGCGCCCGCCAAATCTGGTGGTGGCGGCGCCGCCGACGGCGAGAACCAGGGGAGCCGCCCAAAGCCCAACCAGGCGGAGCTCGGCGCCGTGGCCAAGGGCGACAATCTGCCGCCGCCCAAGGCAGTTCAGCAGGCGCCACTGCCTGGCACCATGTTCTAGGCCATCCGCAGCTACTGGTACGCAATTGTGGACGGTGCGTCCAGAGACTCCAGGGTCACCATCAACTACGACATTCCCGGCAGCGGTAGCGCCAAGCACACCATTAAGGTCGGGAAGAGGTTTGAGACCAACGGGCGTCTTATCCATAGGCTCGCTGCGCACGCCCTGATCCAGACGTTTAAGCAGAAGCTACTAACCCAGACCAACCAGACCGACAAGTACTAGACAGAGGCCAAGATTATCCGGCTAAGAAAGAAATATAGCCTTGCCAGCTCCCAGACGTCCTTTATAGCCACCATGAACGGCACAGGCAAAATCACTTACACGGCGGGCAATGCCACCCAAGCAAAGCAGAGCCTCTTGTCCGCCGTGCCCGTTGACAACAACTCGAGCCTCGACTTTGTCAGCACGCAAGCTTCCGCAGCCGCTGCCGCAGCGCCTCAGGCAAGGTTCTTTTCTATGGCTTCCATGGCTCAGGAAGCGGAACCATTTGCCACTCGTATGGCGGTTCCGCTACCTGCCTACATTGACGAAGCCGATGCCGATACTGAGGATGCTGCTCCCGGCGCGGCTGCAACCGCGGGAGCCGACAATCTCTCAGCCATTATCAGCACACAAAGCGGCAACGGCGCATTCGACTCTGCCACCATTGAGCGCGTCGTGTTTCCTAGCACTGGCGTTCCTGCCATACCGGCGTTCATCTCTTCTCTCGACGGTCGCGACAACGTCAAGGAGCAGATCTGGTTGGCCGTGTGCGCCATGGCATACTTCCGCCAAAAGGAGGCTGAACGTGAGCGCGAGTGGTCTGGGGCTCGTGACAAGGTGGGCGAGTTTGTCAAAACGACTCTTTGCTGTGTGTTTGGTGTTGATGCTGGTCGGTCTGAGGAAATTTTGACTAACTCACTTGATGACGCGGAGGGCTACTTTTGAGGGTCCTTGTAGCACGCGCTGGGAGTCTAGTTGGTCTTTTCGAATAGGTCAACAGGAACGAGCTTGTTAGCTACTATTTTATTTTTTGAATAGTCGTCTCGTCAAGACACTCAGTTCCAGTACCAATATAGGCGAACTGCGCCGACCTCGGTCACCAAATTGTGGTTCACCTCGTCCACCTCGTGTAGCAGCCTCTCCTGGTATGAGCTAAAGCAGCCAACATTGGCACGACCAGGCGTACTTCTATCAGACCTCGTCTCGGTGTCGACTTCGGCAGTGATTTCTCAAATTGTCTCGCCGACTGAAAAGCTACCCAGATCGACGGCAAGGTATAGACGGTTTATGCGCCGATTCATGCCTGTCGCGGTCCTTCAGTGCAAACATTAGCCGCTTCCCGTTATCTAGGTAACAATTTGGAAATCTGCAACAGTATTCTGGAAATGTAGACGGTAGTGTTTGTTGAGGTCGTACTGTTGTAGAAGAACTGCCTTTGAGCCACACGATGGATGCGGGCAACGTAGACCAAGGCGATTTGATTCGGCCCCAACACCAGTTAGTGGACAAGCTGCGGGGGGAGCTGCTGTCGGTCACTCAGTGCAGGTATCTGCTCGCCGGCCATCGACAATATTCAACACTGCTCGGAAAACAGCTCCTAGGCGCCGTGCTTTTGAAACAGGTTAAAGCAATCGTTCGCAGTCATTTGCGGGGCGTTGACGTTTAGGATTATTTCGAAGGGGCCGTCCGTGGGAGCAAGATCAAAGCTCGTGAAGAGGGTGTCTGAACATTGTCTGGATGGGCTCCAATCATCACTGCTCGTCGATAGAAGGCCAGCCGTGAGGCTTTGAACTTCGATGGTGGCCTGCTCACAATATGTAGGATGACCAAACTTGTGAGGAAGTGAAATGTTCAACCGAATCTGAAAAAGCAATGTCGAAGGGCCTACAGAATACAGCCACCCATGGGAGCCGTTCCCACAATTGCTGGTGTCGACCGCCGGAATCACGTGGCCATGCAAGTCTTATCTCTCATGCTTCTGTACCTAGGTTAGGTATTACAGTCGTGATAAAAATCAGTAAAAGCAATTAACATTAGGAGTAATCATTGACTTGCTGGATGGCAATGTAAATATTAGTACTCGACCACGTTCGAGCTAGTAGGAGAGGATCCCGCTAATCAACTATCACAGCGCCACCCGCCACCTACTCTTTATATGAAGTAGTAAATTACGACAGTAATGGAGCGCCAGCACTGGCCCATGACGGGACGTTCTGAGCGCCGGGGCTAACGAGATGTGTGTGCTGCATCATTTGGGTATGGCCCAACAGCGCTCCAAAAAAAAATGTAGGCTAATATGGCTCCTTGGCCTGGCTCTCTGGCCTGTAATGTGTGCTCTGGCTGGTGCTCTTTGGCTGGTGCTCTCAGGCTGGTGCTCTTTGGCTGGTGCTCGTGGGCTGGTGCTCTGGCTGGTGCTCTTTGGCTGATGATCTTGATGGTCCTGGTGGGCGAGGCCCTGGTGCGTTAAAGCTGGTGGACGTTTTGGTGCTCTGTGGCTGGTTGCTGACGGGCTGGTGCCTTCTGGCTGGTGTCTTGATGACTGGTGTCTGTCAGACTTGATGAAATGATGATAATTAATGATAGAAATGGCCTAGACAGACTGGTGTTGCCACCACTTGTCAGGGAAGAGAGAGGTAATGATGTTGTATTCTCTAGGTTCTGTGGGGGCATCCACAGGGCCCAACAAACAGAGCCGATAATCCACAAGCTACTTTTTATACGTTTTTATATATAGCAATGTTCCGAAGGAAAAAAGGACAACACACCAAATCAGGTCTCTCAAATGAAACGCTCCTGATGGCTGATTTAATTGAAATATGAGCCCGCCTCAAGTGATTTACCTGCAAACTGAAAGGCCTCAGCCACTGCCCCAGCTACATCAGAACCGCCTGCGAGCTTCGCAGCGATCAGAGCTAAAGCAACAACGATTAAATCCCTTTGCGCAACTTGTGGTCGAGGGAAGATTGGTACGTACCTGGGATAGAGTAGCTCACACCAAAATATCCTTTCGGATTTTTGAAGCGGCATGTTACCACTTGCGGCTCTCCACCTCCGCAGAGAACATAGTGAAGCGTTGTCATGCCGTCGTTTTCTCCCAATATCTCTCGCTTCATGACAACATATTCAGGACCTAATTTTTGCACAGCCTGCCCCATGGTCTGGACATCTTGCATACTCTGTGGGTAGTCGATGTGAATGCCAGCATTGTCAAGTAATGCCTTGGCCTCACGCACTGTCGCGCAAAGCACCGTGGTTGAGGGAAGTATGCCGTCTTTAAGGGCGCTAAGAACTGCCTCCTGGGGAGGCGGTCCTGTTTTGAAGAAAGGCTCCATGTCCAGAACGAGTTGCGGTTTATCTTGCTGTACGAGGTCGGACACCAGCTTGACTGATTCCGAGGAGAACAAGGCGCCTGCGGGGTAACGCACAATGTTAGCTGCCAACACAAAACTCTCAACAGAAACTGCCTTGACATTTCGACAAGAAGGCGGGAAAGGGTCATCGGGAACTAGACGATGACATGATGGACAGGTACTGAGATCAAAAAGAGCCACAAACCAAATTTCGCCACTGTATACTCTTTGGTCTCAATCACAGCACTGAGCTGGCTTTGCAGTGTCTCAAGTGTGGTGTGAACAACCACTTGTTTGCCGGCCTCATTCTTGGGAGTCGCTGAACCGGTCGAGAGAAGCACTGCCGTTACATTCAGAGAAGCTGTTGCCCTCTTGTCGGCCTGCAAGCCACTGCTCGCCGAATTAGCTTTCCACGATCGAAAGCTGCAGCAAGAAAAAAAAATACTACCTACCTAGTTTGCGACTCTTCGGTGCACCCTACGGTGAGTACACTTCCGAGCATCGTCTTTTCAGATGACATCGTAATGGGAATGGTCAACCTTGGGTCGTTTGTTTGCGGGTCAATTTTGACCTTGATTGATGAGTGAAAGAGACAAGGGCATGTCAAGGCTGTTTATGGCTTGGGCCCGGCTGGGTTCGATTCGTTTTAAATATTCACAGAAGAGTTGGGGAGCAGCACTAGCGAAATGCGCAAACGCCCTTCAGGGCGCGTATGCAATGTTTGCTGGGCTGATGCATACCCCGGCCATATGAAAGCGCTACAAGGTAGCCATGTCTGTTGTGTGCGCACGATTTTCCTATTTCATTTATCAAATTTACTTGATCCCAAAGTTATAAAAGCAAACCCAATTGACGATCGAATCGTAGACAAATGATACAGGTAATATCTATCCAGCCTTGCTCACAAGAGTAGCTATACTAAAGGTCTATGAATTGACGCTTGAACCCTTGCAACAATAACTACAGAGCTTCTCATCGGATTTTACTTTGCAAAATTAGTATTTGGATAAGCTGCCATATAGTGTCACCAGAACTTACTTCATCGAGGCTGAATTTACCAGGGTAGAAGCAAGACACACCAGTGTCAAGTGTGAGGCAGCCCTCCTGGAGGCGGCTAGCTGTACCGTAGGCTTCAATGTCTGCACTGGAGTATTTGCAGTAGATTCCTTCTTCGGCAATCTCGCACTGAGAGTCCAGAGTAGAGCGTCTAGCCTTGACGCCGGAGCGAAGCTTGAAAGCAAAGGCCCAGTATTCGCGAGCAGCGAGACTCGGGTCCTCGTGGCGTTTGGTTTTCTGCATCTCATCATCACGAAGCTTGAAAGCGAATGCCCAGTACTCGCGAGGCGTCATCTTGGCGTGATTGCCATCCTATGCCAATCTTAGCAACTCATTTTTAGCAACTTCAAACAATTAGGGATTTACTTACATCGACGTCAGTACCCTGAGAAGGAGCAGCAAGGCTGCCCGTAACGAGGAGCGCGCTGGCGATGACCTTGGTGAAGAGCATGTTGTAAAATGGGCAATATATCAGATAATCCAAGAGGGAGAAAATGTAGGCGAAATGAGACTGGTTGTTGAGTTCTTTGCAGAATGGTAATATGAAGTGATGACGGAAATGACTGCTTTTTATGCTCAGCGTTGGCAATAGCGACGCTACATCTATTCCTTCGAGTGATTACTTGTATCTGTATTCTTCCAACACATGACTTCTACCGCAAGATGAAGTCCAGGATCAAAGGCGCCCCTTGCAGAAGCGCATAGACCAAATGCAGACTATTTTGAGAACTGTAATCCTGAAAATGATTCAGATAAAGTAAAATAATGTACCAATAGTTTGCTTAGGCTATTGTTAGATATTACCCATGACCGAAGTTTACACTGGTGATAATACTTACAGCGAATACCGCCTTATAGCAATGTTTGCCATCAAGCAGGACGGGCTTTACAGCGCCAGCAGAGGGCCCGCAGGGATGCTTGATGCAAACTTTGTACAAGTCGGCTGAAATCTACGCTTCAGTGTTGTTTTACAAGTTTAATAGTGTGATTCAATTAACCTGGCTGCTTATGCCAACAACTTCAAGCACGCCCTAAATGTCGTGTAGCTTTTTTTTTTTTAATTAGATTACGAGACTACGTCAACTACCAAAACTCTTTCCACTTCCTTGGATTTTTCTAAATCGTCACCATCGGACATCATCTCATTCATCACATACAATACACCTTGTTTCGGCAAAATCGCTTGACAATGTCGGATTCAAAGCATGATGGTTACTCGGAAATTATTAACGAAGAAGAGCATGATGCTTTTCTCGATAATAGTTTCCGAGGCCGTGCAAAGACAAAAGGTCTAGCCATAGAGTCTTGGATACTGTATGCCTCTTTATCTTTTATATTACTCTTCGTCGGAGGTGTAATTGGCTACAATTTAAGACCGTCTACAGCTGGTAGTGGCCTCGCGTTTGCGGACACGTCCCAGCTCAACATCTGTACGTTACCCATCATCTCAGAATTTCATCAGTTATGTAAACTTATTGATTAGACAATGGCGTTGATTTCCCGCCCTTTGAACAACGTTTTAATGGCTCATTGTTCAAGAGAAGCCCATACAGCGGTCCTCCCACCCCTGAGATGGACAAGACTTGGGGCCGTTATACGGAAATGGGAAGCAGTATGTTGGTCAAGATAGACAAAGGTTCGCAATTCCTTTCTTTTGCGCCTTTCTAATCAGCTGTTGGTCGCAGGATCAATGCCGGATTACCCTCCTATACTGAACATTTCAACAGATGATGCGCGAGCATCGACAAGCTATTCGCTTGAGACGGCTGTTCATCTAGAGGAAACGCAGAATATTGGTTACATGGCGAGCCTTGGTCTCTTTCACCAAATTCACTGTCTGGTAAGTTAATGCTCAATTAATGCCTCGCCAGGAATTACGTTTCTGATAGTCTATTTGCCGCAGAACATGCTCCGAAAGTTCATCTACCTCGACTATTACAAAGAAAAGACCCCTGATTGGTTCTCGCAGCCATATCTACGAGCACATGCAGGTAACTTGATGCCGCACCTGTCAAATTCTCTATTGCAGTCTAACATGAAATTCTGTTTCAAGATCACTGCGTCGATATGATTCGCGAAGCTATCATGTGCCACGGAGATACAAGTCTAATTGTCTATCATTGGATCGACGGCTACAAGGATCCAGTTCCCGATTTCAGCACCATGGTACGTTCCACGAACTAGAAGCCGCACATGTTGTAAGCCCGCAGCTAAACTTGCATCTGTCTCAGCACACCTGTCGTAACCCGGAGGCCATTCTGTCTTGGATGCAAAAGAACCAAATAATTCTCAGCAAAGCAGTGTACAAACATGGAGAGAAAGATCTGCCAGAGATTTTCTGAAAGGAAATCATTATTATAATAGTTTCAAATTCAGATTCTGTAGACGTTGTTGTGAGTCGAACAATAGTGAAGGCTTTCTACTGGCCAAAAAGTCATATTTTACAGACCCAGCGCTGAGCTTGTCATTGTACGCTCACGGATAAATGCAAAAGAAACCTGAAATGTCACACATAGACCTCTATCGGATGAATCATGCCCATGTAAGTGTTTGAGCCAGAATCCCAGTGACTGTGGCGTAAACAGATCAAAATTCTGCATGGCGTGATGTTTCTCTTGTAAGTAAAAGTTTGTAGGTGGCGTCGTTGAGGTTGGTCGTGCATCAGCCCACAGTCTTCAGCGGTTTGCACAACTAACAAACAAGACCCAACCCTTGCTCGGCGAAAGAACACGAAGCAAATACAATTCTAATACGGTAGCGCAACTTGGAAGACGGAACAGAAATAGAAAGAGATTTTTTTTGCTTGGCTTAGTTAAGCTGCGATCCACGTTCCTCTACCTCACTCTCGCTACCTCACCTTTGCAGTGCTAAACGGTGCCCCCGAATTACCAAAGCAGCCACAATATGCGCACGTCGTGGTTTTTAGCTGCAAGCAGCAACGAATCTCCCGAATACCAAAAACTTGCCGTCAATGAGGGACTCGCAGAAGACAAGTCCGAGTACAAATGGAAGTCTCGATTTCAGGCAATGACTGCAGTCTACGTTCTCACTACGCTTTGCCTTGTTGCAGTCTACAGTCTCCGCGCAAAGAGTAAGATTGAAGTTGAGTGGGCTTTACCGTCAGATGTCATCTTTGGTCACAGTAAGGAACGGTCCTTCATGGTGTACTGACGAAAGCTAACACGTGGCACAATCCCGAGGGAGAGAGTCTTGTTCACACCGGACCAGTCCTACAGCGATATATTCCCAGGCTCTGCCACGTCGAATCTGGAAAATGCAACGCTCTGGGACGCTTTACAGCCAAGTATGTGATTTCCTGTTGCGTGAAATTCTTTTCTCCTACGCCGCTGGGATTTTTCGAGCCTGGAAGCAGCTAACGTTGAACTGAGTGCAGTTGGTGGAGGGTTGATTGCAGTGTCTGATCCCAGAAAGCTTGGGCTTGTCGGCGGGCTTCCTCTGGGGAAGGGAGCAGACGAGGAGAGGCCCCGTGAAGCATACGGCATCTCCATGTTCCATCAGATTCATTGTCTTGTAGGTTCACTCCATGATTTTTGCCTATGATCAACCCCTGACGCCTAGCCCTTCAAGGTGGCAATCAGGACTGCTATTCGAACTCGCACCTTTAATGACCAGCATCTCGACCACTGCCTCGACTACCTTCGACAAGCCATCATGTGCACAGGAGATACAACTCTTGAAATGGTTATCAAAGACGACAGTGGGGAATTCAAGGCTGAGATTGATGGTTGGGGCACTGTACACGAGTGCAGGAGTTGGCACATGCTCTTTGAGTTTGCTGAGAGGCAGCGCGCGTGAAGATCGTCGGCGACCAGCGAGACCAGTACGGCAGTATATAATTAATTTCCCATTATCTCGGCCTAATTTGTGAGATTCAGGTATATATCTTGGCAAATCGCGCATATTAGTTACACGTGCGAGCAAATAAGTTAAAGTCTAGCTCAAGGACGGCTGTTTATAGTTCTTTTAACTACAGGATATAGTACCTCCCTAAAAGCAGTATAATTAAAATGATTTATTAAATTTATTAAGTAATTACACATATTATCTATTATAAGTTATTTTAACTTTCTAACTTTCTTACTTAATAAATTTAAAGAGTTTATATAATATAAGAAAAATAAGAAAAACTTCTATATTAAGAGAAGAATTTACTACCTTAATATAATAGTTATATACTTATAAAAGATATTATGCTTCTAGTAAGAAATTACTTAGAACTTATCCTCTCAAGTTAAATATATTCTTAACTACTTTAGTTCCAGGTGTAAGAGTTATAGCTTTTAATTTTGATTTTTATTTAACGTCTATAGTGTAGCTCTAGTGTAAGCAAAGAGACGTGCTAGCTATGCTCTATAGATAAACGTGCCGCCGTTTTGGTTAGCGTGACGGGGCGCGTCTAGAGGCGCGCCTACGTTCTTACTAGGGGCTAATTATATTAGCTTCTTAACCTAAACATCCTCCTATAATAGCAGCTACGCGCTAATTAAGATAGAACTGCTTCTTCTTAATTAGTAGTTTTTATTATAGGTAGCTTCTATTAGCGGAGAGTTACCTATACTATTTATAGCTTTATTTCTATGCTTTAGGGGTTTTAACGCGTATTACTATATAATAAAGGAAATAATTAGGGTTTTATAAGTAGTTAGTGTTACTTAGGCGGTTTATTTATCTCTTAATTACTAGCTAAGAGTGTCTTCTATTCCTTAGTATCACTTATTAATCTTTATATAATAGAAGTTAGCGAGCTTTATATAGGTCTAGAAGGATCTACCTAGGTATCTTTATATTATAGCTTTAGGTTTAGGGGTAAGCTAAGGCCTAAGGCTATAGGGGATTTTCCTATAGTAGAAGAAGTAGGTTAAAGACTTTTAGCGCCTATATAGGTAATTAAGTTTAGCGTCTTTATACTTAAAGTACTTATAGTAGTTAGTAAAGTCTTTATAGTAAGTCCTTATAGCTAGGAGATACCCTAGCTATTATTATTAAAGTATTAGCTTAGGGAGCTTCTTTAGCTTTACTTTAAGTTATAGCTTATAATAGCTTTTATAGTTAACTATATCTTACTATTACTAAAATATAATAGTAAGAAGACTATATATATAGTGCTTAGAGTAGGATATTATAGGAGGGTTCTCTCTTATAGGCATCTTAGTACCTTTTTTAGTAAGCTAGTTAGCTAGCTTATTACCTTTAATTCTAGTATAGCCTAGGCACTAATATATATAGATTATACCTAAGTTTATATTACCTATCTTCTAAAATATATAGAATGTTATTTATAATAATAATAGTGTTATTATACTTATATAGTTAATAACTAAGGTGTTATTAATATAAATAGTAATCTTTTCCTTTTAGTGTTATTATATAATTATAATATAGAGGCCTTCTAAGGTACCTCTAATCTTAGTATTAAACACTTTACCTTTACTAATCTATCTACGACCTTACGTAATAAGTCACTATTATTAATAAATAGTATACCCTTATCCTACTATATCTCTTTTAGTTTTAGAGCTATTATTATAGACTACTAATCCTATCTAAGTCCTACTCTAAACTTATATTTACTTAATCTAATATTCTTTTATTAGGCGGCTCCCTTTACTTTCTATCTAGATAGTATTAGAGAAGTGTTAGGGGATTAGGCGTAGACACTCTATTACTAGTACTAGAGTAGTATTATAGAAGAGCCTAACGCCTTTTATAGCTATTTACTATACTATAATTATATTTAGGTTAGTAGTGTACTAGATTTTATATTCTTACTATAGAAAGTAGTAGATAAGTGGGTGGTAAGTGTCTAAGCGCGCCTAGCGGTTTATATTATGTGTTATAATCTACTCTAGTAGTAGTTCTACTAGCGGGATGCTAGCTTCCTTCTATAGCGTGGTCTTTAGTGTTATTTTCTATAAAGGTAAAATTATCTAATAGGCCACTATTAGTGTCTTTTAAATAATTATAAGATATCTTTTTAATACTCTCTCTGCTCCTAAATACTAGATATCTACTTTATAGAAGAGTATTAGTATAATTACTACCTATATAGCCCTACGTGCTATAGTAGCTAAGATATTATAAATAGTATTATTTATATTTTATAGGTAATATATAACACTTTTAGCTTTTACTACCTACTTTAATATATAAATATTAAAGTTAAGGCGTGTATTAAACTAGATACTAAGTTATTATATTACTAGTTTTAGTTAAACTATCTAATCTTAGTATTAAATAGGTAGTAGACTACTTTATTTTTAGTTTATAAAGTATATTACTTCTATCTTATTAACGTTAAAGGTAAAGCCTTTACTTTATCCTTACTCTTCTATTACTATAATTATAGCGTTTACTTATATAGTAGTCTTATCTAGTGTCTCTTTAATAAAGAGTATAGTGGTGTTATTAGTATATTTATATTATTACGTGGCGCCTAAGAGCTTATATAGCGTTGCTATTACTAGTAGGTAGAGGATTAGTGAGAGAGGGGAGCCTTATAGAATACTATATAAGAGCTCTAGAGCTTCTATAGTAATATCTTTAAAGTAAATGTTTACTAACCTACTTATAAGGAATATTATAAGCTAGTAGATAAGGAAGATTAGCTAGCCTTACCTATATAACTAAAGTATAAGTCTATTTTATAAAATAGTATTAAATACTCTTTCTATATCTATTATTACTAGTATAGTAACTCTCTTAGTTATTTTACGTTATACTTACTTAATATTATATATAAGTGTAGTAGTAATATCTATAGTACTTTATTAGGGTAAGGCGCTAGCTTAATTTAGGTGTAGAATCTTATATTTAATAATAAGGTATAATATCTACTTAGTGATAATCTATTCTATACTTTTACCTAGGTAAGAGAGTAGAGAGATTAGTTACTACGTCCCTAGATTAGTAAGGTCGCGTTTATTTTACTTTAAGATTATCACTACCTTAGCTATATACTAAGCGTGTAGGTAGTAGCTATACTATAGGTATACGTTATAGATATCTATAATAAGGTAGTTAACTATTAGCTAAAGTTTCTAAAGTATATATACTATAATACTATTAGTGCTAGGGGAGGTATTACTAGTACTAAGGAGCCTAAATTAGGTCTCTTTATAGGAGATTTTTTAATTAAAAAGAATTAAGGTTTCTAGTATAATAGATAAAGACTAAGGGTTAGTAATATTATTACTAGCTAAGCGCCGTATAAGTTTAGCCTAGCTAAGGGCATAAGCTTTATTTTTATTAGTTAAGAAGATCTACTTACTAACCTAAATAAAAGGTAAGGATATCTACTACTAAGGCTTAAGCTAATATATAACTTTATAAATATTATCTAGTGCTATAATACTTATAATAATCTTACGCTAGAAGTCTTACTTAACCTAATAAACTATTTATTTAAAATAGATATATATATATTATGTCTCCTCCCCTATTAGATTCTTAGTTATACGCTAGAGCACCTAGAAATCTAATAGTGTATTTATATATTCCTTATTCTACTAGGGGTTTTTACTAGCCTTATAGTTATTTTAATAATAGCTATATATTTAGATTACTATCTTAATAATATCTATAAGTAAGGACGTTATTTATTTAATATTCTTATAGCTATTAAGTAATAGCTAGAGTAAGGTAAATACTCTTTTTATATAAGTAATAAAATCTTCTATTTCTTTACCTAATAATACTTTATATCTATTTATAACCTACTAAGGAGCTTCTACTACTAGTACTTTAATATATACTATATAATATAATAAACTTATTATAAGATATTCCTCTATAACTATAATAGCTTAGTTAATATTAGAAAATATTAGGTCTATTATAGTTATGTGTTAATAAGGTGCTGACTAGGTTATGTTTATATTAGGTTTATTTAGGAGGAAAAGCCCTTACTCTTCTACCTACTTAGTAAGTTTTATATTATATCTTAAGCTTAGTTAGTCTATTCTCTAGTAAAGGTAGTAGGTGTTTATATTACCTATAATAATAGTATCTATAAGGATATTCTACTATATAATAGCTATAATAGTTTTAGTTACTTAGGGGTTATTATAGGCATTAAGGATAGTAGTGTTATTAATAACCACCTATAGTAGGTTATAAGATAAGACCACGGTAAGCTACTTAGGTTATATTCTATAATGTTTTTAGATATAAGTAAATACCTATAGGCGTATTACCTAAGAGTTCTAGTATAAGACTAGTAAGAAGTAGGTAAAGCTAGGATAGTCTAGTACTTAGTAGATATCTTTCTTTTTATTATATAATAAGTATAACTCTTATAATAGAACTATATTATAGTCTTTTTTATATACTAGCTAAAAGGCTATATAGTATATAGATTTATACTTATTAACGTTTACCTAGAATAAGTGGAGTAAAATAGGTTTATTATTTCTAGGTATTAGACTATAGATAGGTATACCTTATTTTCTTTAGTAGTAACTATTATATAGGTGAAGATAGTAGTAAGTGTATGATAATGATTACGTTACTTAAGGGTTCTATAGGGTTTACCTATACTTGTCTTAGTATAGCTGTCTTTATAGAAGGCCGTTTTACTATAGTAAATAAGGGTATTTTTATAGTTAGGGGTTATAGAGTAGGTTTAAGGTTTTATGTGGTTAAGGTAAATAGCTATATAAGAAGGGAGGAGGGAGGTAGGAGAGGAGGAAGTAAGGTATTTTCTCTTATATTTATATCTTCTTTTATATATCTATGATTTACTTTATCTTTATTATTATCTTCTTCCTCTTCTTCCTTTTCCTCTTCTTCTTCCCCTTCTTCCTCTTCTTCTATACTATCCTCCTTAATCCCCCCTTCTTCTACTTCTTCTTATTCTTCTCCTACTACTTCTTTCTCTCCTTAACTTCCCCCTATAATAGCCTCCCTTTCTACTTCTACTATTATACCTATAGTTTCCTCTATGAAATTAATTTCTACTAGGTTATCTATATTAGGTTTCTTTACTATAGTGTGCTATAATTTTAGCTTAATAGATTTAGGGGCTTTTACCTTAGTTATCTTAATATTACTTATGTCCTAGTCCTTAGTTAGGCTGCTTATAATTTTATTTAGCTTAGGCTATTATTATAAGAGCTCTTATTACTTATATATAGCTTTACCTTACTAGATAGTATAGTTATATTTTATCTTAGAAAGTGTATAAGTACTATAGGTAGTGTGTTTTAGGAAGGTAAAGTATTCTAGTAAGCCTATATTATATAGGCTATAGTAGCCTATATATCTAGTGTTAGCTTAATAGCTTTCCTAGTTATAGGTATAGCTTTTATAGTTTCTATAGACTTTTAGTTTCTAGTATTATATAGGTATATAAAATAACTAATATATATTATATAAGATAAGGTATAGGGGTTTTATAAGCTAGAAAGAGAGATCGCTAAGGCTAAGGAGATAAAAGTGGCTCTTTAGGGGTTAGTTAAAATAGATAATTAGTATAGTTATAAGATTATTAGTTTTAGTACTTCTCTATTAGACAAGGTAAAATCTAGTTTATTCTTTAATAGCTTCTTTAATAGTTTACTTATAGTTAAGTTCTATACTATCTTATAATGTGATTATCTATAGGAAGTTCTTAATAAGGTATATATACTATTTAATATCCTTTTTTATAACCTTAAGCCTAACTAAGGGACCCTAAAGCTACTAGTTCTAAAAAATCTTTTACTAGATTACTATAGTTAGAGGGGTTAAGGCAAACCTTATATTAGTTTCTTTTATATCTAAGAGGTCTACTAGTTATAAATATAGCTTATTATGTATTACTAGTTAAATCTATAATAATTTATTAAAGAATTTTAAATCTTTATAGAGATAGATTAGAACCCTCTTATTATTTCTTAGTACTTATGCTTTATGTCTTAGGGTATTTTTAGGTATAATTTTATAATTTCTAGGTTATGTCTTATTAGTGGCATATATAACGCTAGTAAAGGTTATAATTTTCTTAAGTGGTACTATACGTAGGGTTTTCTCTACGCTATCTAATATAATAGTATAGTTAGAGGCTAGTGAGATGTTATTATAGGAGGTTACTAACTAGTATTATAGGATTATTAAGTAGAGGTACTATATAAAGTGTTTTCTATATCTAGAAGAAAACTACTTAGTATATTTTATAATTATATATAAGTACGTATATAGGATTCTAGTGTATATATTAAGTTAGTTCTAGGCTTCTATAATAAGGGCTTTAACGTCTATAAGAGCGTTATTAGTATCTTAGTTCTAGGTTACTAGAGGTATAAAGTGGTTTATATTTAGTTATTACTATTATTTTTTAGTTACTAGTTATATAGACTACTATTATATTAAGCTACTACTCTTAGTAAAGGGGCGAGTGTGTACTAGGATACTATTACGCGTGATTAATCTCTATAGGCCTTCTAATGGGTTAGGGCTTATAGAGACGTTATGCCGTGGCGTATCACTAGTAGTGCTAGCGGCATTTAGTGGCGTAGGCGTTATGCCGTTTAGCGTGTACTTTAAGAATTTATATAAATTTATTATGGTTTATTCTATTATCTTTCTATTCTAGAAATATAAGGTATGGCGTACCCTGTGATATAGATAAAAGATAAGAGTTATAGCTTTTTTAAGTAATCTTTCTACCTTTAGGGTAGTAGGTCTTTTTTTTCGCGTCACTTTTCATGGGCTACTGTAATGCAGGATAGTTAGGGCGGCGCGGGAGTGCTACAGCGCTAGCGAAATAGGTGCGAAGATAAGACTATACCTCTCCGGCGATTAAAAGGCAACCTACTCTAAACGTCGGGCACCTATTAGTGCTAGGTAGCTGCCTTAGAATTGAATTACCTTCTGCTTTATAGATTACAGCTTTCACAAGTATGGATAAAAATCTATAAATTTATAATGGCTAAAAACTCTTTCTACACTTGTATCAGTTGATATATTTTCGGATTTTAGAGTGATAGTATAATAATGTATTACACGTCTAGTAACTGGTCTTATCGCTAATCTACCGAGCTTTATTCCTTTCGAGTTCGACACTGTTAAAATTATCGAGACTCCAATTGCCAATATCTTCTACTGGTCATTGATCATCTGTAGCTGCTCATTGATCGCGCTGAGCTCCTGTCGCACCACCTTCCACTGCTTCGGCGTAAATGTAGCTGAGACTAGCATGTTGCCTCCCATGTCCTTGCTCAGAACAAAGACCAGGTTTCCGTAAGGCTCTTGGCCAAAGAGCTGCGCATCGAGAAGATGAGCCCTTCCGTACTCACGCGTCGACCTCTTGTCAGTTTCCTCGCGAGTCGAGCTACCATCAGCAGCGGCGGGCCGGGCAGAGACAATAGCGGGCGCAAAGTCGAGGCTGCCCAAGACGTCGGCTTTGCACCAGTTAGTCACGGCTACATAATCGGCACCGGGCAGGCCAAAGAAGAGCTGAGAAGATTGGCCCGACTCGACAGCCTCGCGCCGGGCGCGCGCGTAATAGCGCAGCTGCAGCGGCGTCGACTGCTGAGCTACGGACTGGCGGCTCTTGGCCGCAATGAGGGACAATTTGCCGCGCGCGTCGTTCTCTGAAAGGTCTGTATGCGCTGATGCCAACAGACTTGCCACGTAGACATCCTCGTTGCTTGTTGGCAGATCCGGCAGTCTGCCCCGTAGGTTGACCACATTGCAGATGCTTATGGCACGGGGCAGATCCTGGCTCAAGGCGACGACACGCGTGAACCACGCCAAAACTACGTCTCCCTGGCTGACCCAGGAAGGCAACGTCTCAACCAAGCGCCCCTTTTCGTCCCGGTCGCGAGTATCCTGCTGGGCGAGCTCAGCGAGGACCTGAGAATGCAAATACCGCAACGCCCTGGCCGGCAGGAATAAGAGCCGTCTTTGCAACTCTTCTGGCTGACCCTGGGATATGAGCAGCGAGTTGATGGCTGTATCCTGCTCGGCAATATCTCGAAACGACGACTGCTGCCCAGCAAGCGCGGCCTCTAGAGATATCATCTTACTCTTCAGCTGCCACGGCTCGTCGGATCCTTCCAGTTTCTTCGCATTACCTGCCTCAAACATGAGATCATCTTGCACCCCCACGATTGAGCCGACTTGCTCTTCTTTGCCAGCCAGAACGAGCGACCAGGCGCGAAAGAAGTCCGCCATCGCCATCGCATCAATCAGGATGTGTGGAATAGCGATGGAAACTATGGTGCCGTCAATGAAGGAGTTGACAAACAGTGACACAATAGGGGTGTCTCGGTGCTTGTCGTCTGACAGCCATTGCTCAAATGTGCTCGGCAATTGCCTCTGTGCGCCCAGCGCCTCCAGAGCTGGTCCCGTGGGATGCAGCGCCGAGAATGAGCCGTCGTGGCGGGGAAGTAGCTGTGCACTTTCGTGTGCATCCATAACCATGTCGTGCGTCTCATGTGTGTAGTAGACAGGTCGGTACTCCCCGGTGAGGACTCTGGGAGCGGCAATCTGAACTTTGCCATCTTGGACACGCCGCAATCGTCCCGCAAAGATTCGCCAATCCCCGATATTTAGAAGTCGACATAGCGACGTATAAAGCTTTCCTGCGTCGAGGGTGTCTTGGAACACGAACAAGGTTGTTAAGATCAGGCTACGCTCCACGCTGGAGTTGCTGACCCTGCTGACTGGATAAACAATGTCATTATCCATCACCTCGGATATGGCTTGGAAAGCCCGGGAAGGTAACAGAAAGGTTAGTCAAGTAAAAAAACGGGATTGATGAAAAAAAGTGGCCGAGAGAATCGACGATAACAACTAAAGCGCAAGGTTGGCATAAGCAAGCACTCGGGACGGAGCTTTTATATCCCAAGTCTTGGGTAGCAGCAAGCATTTACCTACTTATAAGTGTTTGGCCACGTATTCGTATACAGAGAAAGCTCTGACCCTCGAGACTGTTGTAGTGGGCTGAGTTGACTGTACTCTTTCTTTGCTCATTACACCCGGTGGCTTCCAACCAATTGGGTTCGTTGAGATTGTACTATAGACTGAAACCGATCCTTGCAAATACTTTGTGCTGCGTGTGCTGCAGTCATTGAAGCCGCATGATTATGAGTTTCCCAATAAGGTTAGTGGCATCTAAGAAAGTTCTGGGAAAAGAGCGAGTTTAGGTAGCGCTATGATCTATCCAACCAATACTTTGATAGATCTGTCGCATCGAAAATGGAGCCCCGACCTCGTATATACACAAGACCTGGCTCGTTTTGCAAATACGCGTACTTATGAAGGTCATGAGTGTTGATGCTTGCGTATAAAACATGTTTCTAGCAAGGAGGGGTGTTGCACTAGTTTGAGCGTTATTGAACCCGTCTTGGCCAACGTCTATATCTGGCAATGCCCGCTACCTACCGCGAAACTGCCTATTTGGTGGTTGCAAGAAGGCTCAGTGTTACAGATGAAATGCCACTTAGCTATCGAAAATTCTTTTACAAGAATGGCCAATACAAGCACAATGAGGCGATGGCAGGACAATGAGGCGATGGCAGGACAATGAGGCGATGGCAGGACAATGAACACGCTACGTTGTCTTGCTAAGGCTGACGCGGGAAGCGCGGATGCCGATGGCGGTTTGTAGGCATCTCTCGCTTGACTTTGGGACGTGGCCAGAGTACCAAGCTTGTTCGGTTTGGACAGATTGCGCCATGCTCGGATGTCTAGGAATCCGGTTGTATTCGCTAGAGTATTACGCGGATGCAGCACTTTACATCACTTTTCGGCCACATGTATGACGTCTAGATAAGCCTGCCATTCTTCGTCATGATATCTCCTTTCCTTCTCCTTAAGAGAATTCTTAACAATGAAGACACCTATTCGCAGCAGCCTAGGGCCAGTCCGTGACACTTTAACTTTAAGGTCAAGAGCTTCAATAGGTTGATTGACTGTTTAGTGCTTAGATTGACCTAAACGAGATTATATTACTAGTCTATTGTGTATCTCGGTAAAGCGCGCGCATTAGTTACACGTGCGAGAAAATTGCTCCTTAAAGTCAGAGTTGCAGGTCGTCTGAATATTGGCAGCCTCGTATTCTAGACTGGCATATATCTGGCAGCCCTCGCCTCCCATAATCCGACCTGTTTCTAGGTTTCCACCATAGCTAAGCACGCGCGACGCCATGCCTTCCGCGACGGCCGCATTTCGCGTGGGGTCGTTTAGGTTAGCGCCGGAGCGGTACTTGGAGTGTCCAGCCACTGCAGCATATCCAAGTCGGCGGGCGTAGAGATATGCAATCTGCTCATCAATGGCATTAATATACTTTCGAGCGCAGTCTAGCTCTTGGGTGCTATTGTCGGAGTTGCAGATGGTCGCAATCGGGACTTCCGACAGACGATTAAGGTCGTATAGTGGCTGGTCGTTGGAACCGCATTTGGCACCAGGGTAATTCTCGGTAGTGGCGTTTGGCGAGGGCTTAAAATGGCATTGTGTCTTGTCGAGGGTTACCGCGGTGGCCACGAGCGCCAGGCTGAAGATGACTGCGGCGCGCATTCTGGATATTTTTCGTCGACGGACGCAATGGTTTGTCAAATGTAAAACTCTGTTCGGAAAGCGAGACTTGGCAAATTCGTATTGGGGCGGAGCGGGAGTTCGCTTAATAAGCAGACCTCATCAATTTGCAGTATCTACAGTACACGCAACCACGGCATTAATACGACTGCTATATAATTACTAATAAACAACGTACGAGCTAACCTGAAGACGGGCGACTCGGTAATTAAAGGTATATTCAAAGCATGTCTCATTTCCGCAGTCGGTAGCCATACAGAGAAAATGAGTAGACGTGAGACTCATCCCCCCCTCCACCCTGAACTTGACGTTTTCAGGCATCCAAGGGAATGAATGTATGCTGAGCCACTCTTAGACAAGGACATTATAGCCGAGCTTGTATATGAGCCGACAATATCGCCCGCAGCGGGTGTCGAATGACTGCAACTTGCTGGCATTGCACTGCAGTTGCCTCTAGTTAGTATTGAGAATGTCTCGACCCCGTCCTTGGACATCAACTTACAGTGCAGCCGTCTCTTTTGAAAGTTGGGAGCCCGATACCCACGGCCGGTTTCTTGATGGTTTTTTTCGCGGCCTTGCCCTCAATTTCATCTACCTTGGCTTGAAAGGCGGTGCAGCCCTTTTCTATCTTTTGCCGTACGTCGTCATCGGCCGGCTCGTAGTCGTGAACACTATAACAAAACTCCAGTATCTTGTCAAGGCCCTTGCTCCATTTCTCCAACGTCCACCTCGAATATGCGCTCGAAGCAAACAGCGCCTTGCACCTGTCTTTGAACCAGTCCTCAACTGCCTTGTAAGGATTGTGATGCGTCTCGTACCCTTGACACAACTGCACGTCCTCATCAAGTTTGCCTTGCTTCAACAATTCTTCAAATCTCTCGTCGAATCTCTTATCCCAGGGGGTACATATATGATTCGGCCTCCCAGCAATAATTTCTTTGGCCTCTCCTCCTTTCAGCCAACAAATCAAGCTTGCTTTCAGGTCATTTCCGTCAATGTCGTCCCGCCCTGGACCTCCAATAGCGACCTGAAGGGATTCCACCGCATCGTCAAATCCTTGCAGAAGATATCCGACTACCGGCCACGTCTTGATTTCTTCATAAACATCCCGCGCATACGGCGCTAATAAACCGATAGCAGCTGTCTTCGCGGACGCAGCGGTCACCCGGCGTGTTTTGCCCTTTGGAAACGAGAACTTGCTCTTTGATGGCTTCGACGGCTTCGACGGCTTCGACGGTTGCGTAGTCTTGCCTACGCTGGGACAACAGCCCAGTTGCCTTTTTCGCTTGCATGGCCTGCACTTCTTGGCCGGTCCAAGCGGCTCGCCCGGTACTCTTGTCACTCCGATTTTCTTGTCCGGGTCGTACTTGGAAACCTGCTTAGGAATACCCAGGCCCAAGGGCATTTCTCGCAGAGGGGGCTTGGGACTCGTGGGAGGCTGCAATTCGCCGTTTAGCCCCCATCGTTCAATGCCGCGACGCGCTGCGTCGAGCATCTGGGTTCCTGGTCCATCTGAGGGTGGCACAGGGTTGATTTGCCGGTCAACAAGTGTTGCCCTAACGCTGACGAACCCTATGAGGGTAAGACAGATTGTCGTAATCTTCATTCCGACGATGCAACAGGATGCTGATGAATCAGAGACTTGGCTTGCCTGTCGATAAAATGCGTGCCAGATAGAAAAAACATTATTCTCGGCCTGACGACATGAATTTTCGAAGAGCACAGAATTTACCTTATGTATTAATTGCATTCGTCTTTACCAAGGATTCCAAATCAGATAGATACTAATACCAAGTCCCATCTCCGCGGGATTACCGAATTCGTGCAGGGTCATTACGAGTCAGAACTACACAAGCTCATCCTGCGTTATATACTTAAATAACCATATCATTAGATTAAAACCTCATATGGCATGACTCTTTCCATTACACTGGAGTTGTCAGCGCGAGTTGCGATGCCGGGATGAAGCCTCAGCCACACCGGCATGAACGTCAACTCCAACGCTTTATTGGCTCTAACTTCTGGTTAAACCCGTGCTGAATTTTGTCGCAAATTCGTGCTTGCACTCAAGGAAATCCAGGCACGCGACTCCAAGGCCGAAAACAAGCTACTACATTGTCTTTGCGTAGCCACATAAACGGCGGCTAATGCACAGCTTATCCCCTTCACCGTGTAGTTGCTTTCTAGGACAGTGAAATTTTCAGGCACATACACCTTTTCAATCAAACGGACGGTTATCATGCTTTTAGAATACTTACTGTTGATATTTGCAAATATAGGACAGAGTAGATGAGCACGAGTCAGATGCAGCGGGAACAGCCGCAACGCTGCCATATTAGCTCAATGTCGTCATCTGCCAATTATAGAGCCTAACATAGCGGGACGCGTTTTACATATCGACCTTGATTCGGTTCCTAAGCATGAAAGCTTGGCGCTAGTCAGACCTCGACAATTTAGCAAAGTAGATTGCTCATCTCCGGCGATTCAGCTTGCGCGAACTATGATACGAGACGACCCATTGTTTGTGCGAAAAGCGCGGCACAGGGCAAAGTGCTGCAAGGGTACTCTCAGTGGTGGGGGCTGCTTTATTACCACATGGAATCATGAATAATTATAAGCTACCGTCCACCACCATTGTATATAAATACCCTTGCCAGTGCGGTGGCATATCGAGTCTGTATTATATAATTGTCAACACTCTGGATCTTAAAATATTAATAAATCAGCAATTCTACTCTCAGAGAAAGTCACTTATTTATATATCTATCGTCGTTTACCATGGTTTACATTTATACCTTACTTCTTCTGAGTTGTACGCTTTTATACCATTTTTATGTTCATCTTTGACACTTTTGCTGACACCTTAAACTAGTGACTTGGTCTGCCCTTGGGGCGACCACTCAGAATGACCGCCGTGGAGTCGACGGCCTCTCCAGGACCAGAGTCCCTAGCCAAGGCTCGGCGATCATGGGTTTACATAGGCGCGAGGATGAGAAACCAAGTAGCGCTGCGATCAAGAAGCTTGAAGAAGATCGAAGAGCCATCTCGCCGGAGCTTGACCAAGCCTGGGAGAAAATGAGAACTGCGATTCAGGCTGCTGAGGATGCTATTTCTGATCAGCACAAGGAAATTGAAGAGCGGGCCATGAAGGCACTAGAAGCCGCTTTTCTGGCGTCTGATGACTCTATACCCAAGGAGATCAAACAGGAGCAGGACGATGCTGTTAGGAACTTCGAGGCCACGAGAGACGGTCTCCCCGAGGAGACAAAGTCCAAGCTGGAAGAGAACCGTCTAGCTTTAGAGGAGGCTTGGGAAAGAGAGTACGCCTCTGAGTCGGATGCCGACTCCCCCTCTGCGTCTTCTGTTGCCCCCGGCTCTACGGCTTCTGTAACGTCGGAGTTCTAAATGCTCTTGAAAAGACCACGCCAGAGACAAATCTTTCGAAGTCTGATGGGAATACCCCCTACCGTGTTCTTTGGGTCGGAATTCTTTGGGTCGGAAAGGTGATGTTTAGACACTGTTAGCCACGTCATCGCAGGGGTGAAGGGGACGTTTGGTGATGCGCCGGATCTAGTCATCTGCCGCATTTCTTTCTCTCAACACAACTCTTTTAATACAGCAATCCCTCAGTAGCTATGAGTTTAATAGACAAAGTACTTAAAGTTCATAAAATTAATTATGTCAAGGCCGCGCGACATTCAATTGCGACGAGACTACACTGTGGCGCCGAATGAAAGTGTTTCTTGTGATTGCAAACGACATTTTATGATTTAATTGTGCTAAATAACTGCGCCTGACTTCAAAGATATCAGCGCCAATTTATGCAAGGCTATCAATCCCATCAGAGCAATTCCTAGGGTCCCCTTCTATAATGCATTTTGAACCCCATCATGAATTGCTGCAAATCGGTAAACATTTACATTTTGAAGCAAAGTTTTTCAGCAACTTCCCAAAGTCGTCCCATTAAAAAGTATAAGTTGTATTGCTTCATATCTTCTTTCAACTGCCAAACACATTGGACTACATTACCCTCTCAAAGACGCAGTCTTGAAAAGTAAAATACTCAGCTAGGATGCCGCCGCCATTCAATGTTTCTTTTTAGGACAGTTTGAGAAAGACAAGATGATGTAATGGCGGCGGTGGTTATGCGGGGAAAACAGTGGCGTTTCTTCAGACATTCATACCCAACCCAATATTAGAAGCATGCAAGCGCTTCAACTTTCAGGCCCCTCCCCTTGTTCCGCCGAAACAATTCCAAGCAAAAGAAAAAAAAAAAACAAAAAAAAAGGCATTCGAAATATTATGCAAGATGCTTCTTTTGGCATTTTCGGCATCGTCGAAGATGCGGTGTGAATGTTTGCTTTACTTGCCCCGTGTCTCCTCCTGCCTCGTTACATCCAAGGGCCCTCACTACATGCCCGCCGCGCAACTACACCTACTCAAGTCAACTGGTCACAGCGTTATCCTACAATCAATGCTCCGTTAAACTCTATCATCTTTTGAGTGTCAAGAGTACATATACAATGTTTTCATGTAGATGGCAGGTTCTTGTAGGCCGCCTCGCCAGCCACCTCGTACTATTTTTCCCGTACTTCCCGTCTTCCCCCCACCCCAATCTAAGTTACGAGGTTTTTTTGGCAGACAATACCTACTACCCTGTCACACTTGTAGCTGAACAGCCGTGCCAAGGTGCTCGTCAACAAGCAAAGACATAGGCTGTGACTCTCTCTACATGCAAATTTATGCATGTAAATCCATTTTCAGCAGATGATTCCATTTCACAACAGCCAGCTACTGCATGTTATTGTTTGCCATGTCTTCATCATCCATCTACGGTACAAGAATGAAGGCTTGCAGATTTTATGTCTCATTTGATGTAAGACATCTCTTAGACTTGATTGGTTCCGTCTAGCACTGGTCTATCTTCAAATACAGAGACAAAAGATAAGGAGAATTATTTCCTGAGTGGGTGGCTTTCGGAGCAATACAGCCACCAGCCCACCAATCGGGTGACAAACCCGACCGCCAGTGATCGAGTGGACGGGTGGGCAAAACTAGTGTAGTTTCCTAAACGCAGTGTGTTATGAAATCCTAGATCAATACGATTAATTTTCTATACAAACTAGTCCGGAGAGCATCCTTTCTACGAGACTTCACACTATTTCTCTATTGTCTAGAATGAGCTCAATTCTGCGTGTCGGCGACCTGTTTTGTCACCCGCGTGCAGCCTACACGGCACGTACGACAGCCGTGTCTCGGATGGCCGTGTAGCTTCCAAGGCCTGCTCCTTGTGAGGACTTTGAGGGGAACTGCAGTAGAATCTCAATGCGGATGGAGCCATCGAGAACATGTCCCGCTATTGAGAGGCTTTCAAGTCCATGCTGACTATTTATAATTGCTCATCTGCCCTCCTCCTTATCCTGGAGTTGAGCTTTCATCCCGTCAGGTCATCAACCCAACAACAACTCTCATCTTTACCACTACACACAGTCAATTGACTCCATCAGAAACACCTTCAACCTTCACTCCTTCAAAATGTCATCATTGCTCGCCACCAGCCTGCTACTTGTCGGCCTTCTCCAGATAGCCACCGCATTGCCGGAGGCCCTGGTAACAAAGCCAATCAGGGCACGCGCCGACAAGCAAGTCTGCCTGGATAGCTCAGGCTGCTCGGGTAGCACGCCGCAGTGCACCGTGGATGCGAGAGAAATCTGGCCCATCTGCTGCGGCCAAGGCCAAAAGGCCTTCTACGGCCAGTGCTGGGACGTTCCGAACGACGACGACATTGATGTCTGCGTGGCCGAGAGCCGCCGGGAGGGCACTCTATGCAGCCTCACCCAGAACTACTACTGCGCCTGTATTCCTGGCACTATCCGTTCATTGTGCAGATGCTGCAGGTCAGATCAGGTCCTAGACCTTTATACTTCACAATGTGCCGATAGGTAAACCAGATCGGATGGTGAGCCTTCATAGCCTGGTGCAAAGCTGTCTTGGCGAGCTCAATCATAAATGAGAGAATGTTGAAGCTGGGGCAGATCAGAAGCGGTCAAAGTGCCGGCATCAAGATTGTCAGGGGATAAGAAAGGTGGCACAGAATGTCCAGAGATTATATAACAAATCTAGTTTTGAACTATATGGATTTCTACTATCAGTTAGTAAAAGTTTAAAGTAATGATGACATAAGAGTTTTATTAGATAGAAGATTAAAATGGTTTTAAAATTAATTATATTAAAGATTTTTAGGGACTGTAGAATAGATACTCTATTAAATTTAAATTTATAAATAATATAAAAAATCATATTATATCTACTTTATCTACGTAAAGGCTATAGAATATGCCTAGAATAATAATAGCCTTGGTTATGATCATATAAAATGACTTTTTTATAAACTGAAAGGTTTATGTTGGCACAGTAGCTAGGTGCTTACCTGAAAGTCTGCCCGCACATATAGGACAAGCCAGCCGATCCTATACGATGCTCGTTCATGTCCCTTTACGCTCTACTTGTAGTAAATGGAGTGAACAATGCAGCCGAATCGGTGCGGCGAGGTTGTACTTTTTTGAATATTGACTCCGTTTTTGACATTCGGATAGTCTGGTCGTGGCTGAGACACTCTCCCTTCAGCTGCCAGCACTATAGCTCGGGAAATACCACCTACCGCCGAAAATCACCAAACAAAAGGTTACTATTGGTACATGGTATGGTCACTAGATCCTTTGAACATTATACCTCCTTTAGTGACTATTGTAGTTGACCTGGTGCGATGCGAGAAGGCGTCGTTCTCCTGCTCGGCAGTTGCTACTAGACCGTCTCTGCCGCTCAGCGCATACTCATGCACTGCTCGTGTATGCATATAAGCACATTTGCCGAAATACTAACTCTGCGCCTACTACATTGACCCGAATATGGTCCAGTAAACGTCAAACGGTCACGAGAGTATGTGGCTGATCAATCTCCTCCTTCAACATAGTATAGCACTCAGCTGAGAAGCCATCGGAACCCCTCATGCACGAGAGTGAACCTTTGATAATGGATGCAGCACTCAAAAAACATCTTTTTTCACGGGCGCCCTTTTTCTATATATAGAGGTTCATCTTCCGATGCCATCGTCTCAGTTTGACCATTCTCCCATTCTTCCGTTCATCGCAGAAGAACCCCTTCATCGTCTCTGCTATCATAACATCATATTAAACTCTGACTAGTGCATCGACATGGGTTGGAGCAATTTCCAGCTAGCCGTGCCTGGCAGCAATTCCCTCTACAGCGGTATCGCCGCAGTCTCTCGCCATCCCAACACCATGGAGCTTTGGTCCATTGGCCAGGATGGCTCTGTCAACGGCGAATACTGGTACGCAGGCGCGATATGGCAGCGCTACCAGCTCGCCCCGGCCGGCAGCGGCTCCCCAACTGGTAATATCGCTGCCGTCTCTCGCGCTTCCCACACCATGGAGCTTTGGTTCACGGCGCGCGATGGTTCCGTACGGGACTATTACTGGTATGAAGGCGGCAGCTGGCAAAATTTCCAGCTCGCTCCGCCAGGGAGCGCCTCGCCCAGTGGCGGGATTGCTGCCGTCTCGCGGGCCCCAAACACCATGGAGGTCTGGTTCGCGGGGCTGGATGGATCGGTAAAGGACCATTACTGGTACGAGGGCGCCGGCTGGAAGAATTTCCAGCTGGCCCCTCCCGGAAGTGCCGCCTCTTCGGGAAGCATCGCCGCGGTCTCGCGCGCTTCGCACACCATGGAGGTCTTCTTCAACGGCCGGGACGGGTCAATCAAAGACTACTACTACTACGAGACGGGCGGCTGGAAGAACTTTCAGCTAGCGCCGCCGAATACTGCCTCGACAACGGGCGGAATAGCTGCAGTCTCTCGTATTCCAGACTCTATGGAGGTCTGGGCTATCTGCCAAGACGGATCTGTGCATGATTATTATTGGTACGCCAGTGAAAACGCCAATGGCGGATGGAGAAACTTCCAACTGGCGCCACCTGGCAGTGCGGCAAAATCGGGTGGTATATCTGCAGTCTCTCGTGAGCAAAACACAATGGAAGTCTTCTTTACCGGGCGCGATGGGTCGGTCCAAGACCATTATTGGTACCTGGGCAGCGGGTGGAGGGGTTTTACACTTGCGCCGCCGAATTCAGCTGCTCTATCCGGCGGTATCAAGGCCGTTTCGCGTGCGTCAAACACTATGGAGGTTTGGTTTGTTGGAAGGGATGGATCAACCAAAGATTATTATTACTACTAACCTCTAACGTGGAAATCTTCTCGGAAATTTGCGGCACCGCTTGATGCTCTTTCGCTTGATTATAGTAAGCGATATGGCGTAGCAGCACCAACTATTAATAGTCGTAAGTTAACCGGGCACAACATTTTAACTTTCATGATCTAGATAATGCTTAGTGCAATATATGGTTAGTTGAATGATACGCTGCACCTTTCTGTTCGTCATTCTTATCACAATCATCACCTCAAGTATAACAGCTGCCAATATTATCATGTCGGTAATATGTGTTGACTAATTCAGTAGAGCCTTGTATTCTAGGTTTTTTAGACTACCCGGTTCAACCTCAAATCTTTTCGTCGCGCGTACCCCGTAGGGGGCTCTGGCCGCCCTGCTCACAGCGTATGCGATTAATTAGTGGCGACATCGTCGAGCATTCGGGCCGCGTCGCCGCTAAAGTCAATCCACGGGTTGCTGCCCAGGTCCGCTGCGCCTTCGGCATTCGGGTCCTCGTAGCGTATGACGAACTCCTTGGGACCGTGTGCGTACGCCACAATCAGGCCGTGCTTGGCGTCCAGGAATGCGCCATGGGGACGCTTGCCGGGGTAGCTGATGCGCCAGGCCTGGGCGCCAATCTCCACGGCGGGCACCGAGAGCTTGACGACCACGCCGTCGGGAAGCCGGTAGAACCATGTCATCGGGCCGCCAGTCACCACGGTCATGACCTCGTCGATGCCGACGCCTTGGTCGGTGGTGTTGACGTGGAGGCGTCCGAAGCGCTTCAGCACGAATTGCTTGCTGGCCTCGTCCATGGCCTGCATGTCGTAGACCTTGGGATACGGAGCGACGTCGTGCTCCGAGGTGTTTAGGTTGCCACCGTCATGGACTTCGGGGGTGCGGCCGGCAAGCTGGATTTGCGCCAGAAGATCTTTGCGGCTCAGGCTGAACAAGGAGATTAGCTTGGCCTGTTCGTGCTCCGAGATGGCCCGGGTCTTGGACGCCTCCAGGATCGGGTATGCCTCCGTGGGGACGGGAACCTGGCTAGCGCGGACGCCCACGGTGCGCAGAATCTCATTGACGGCCGCGATGCCAATGGTGGACGGCCGTCCGTCGAAGTAGGAGAGCTTGAGATCTGCCGTCATTTTCGATTTTTTGTAGTGGGTGAATGACCTTGTAGTCAATGGTGTGAATGAGATGTGGGCTGTCTTTGTAAATAAGAAGACTGGGTTGTACGGCAGGATTGATAACAGCAAGCGAAATACGACAGAGGCATGTTTTTTATAGTTGGATGGGACATGAGGAAGTCGAAAAAATTTCTCCTCAGTCCCATGGTTCTTGAAACAACGCATTGAGCTTTCGCGTCTCGGCCTCCACGCCTTGGACTCTCGCGTCTCGGCTTTCATACCTTGGGCTTGCGCGACTCGGCTCCCACGTCTTGGCTTTGACTAAGCTGTAAGCATGGCATCAAAGCCGGACATGTCGCGGCGCCAAGTAACAGCATTTGATAATTTATAATGCGGTGAAGCAGGATATATTGTTGCACCAAGAAAACGTGGTGGCGATTGAAGCGACGAAACGCGAGAAAGAAGACTGTTCCCAAGTATACTCTTAGCACCCTTGGTTGCCAACTATACTCTAGCTATTTTCAGATTTTAGATCCTCTTATATCTTTAGGAGTGAGACTTGCACGAATTGTTACGTGATGACTTTCAAGGCGTAGTAGATAGTCAGTACTACACCAGGGCGTTGCTCTGTCCACCGTGTCATAGTGCGATTTTAAGGTTTTTACTCTATCTCCACCTCGCTTCCTCGCGCCGCGAGCCGGCTTTAGCGTAAAATGGAGAAAAGCACGTCATGCTCACAAAGTTTTAAGCCACTTGATTGAGACGTAGAGAGGCACGCTCAATCCTCGTTCGTCGGCAGATCTTGGCATCTTGCAGGGCTCGTTTATCTTCTTTTTTTTCTAGCACGATTAATGACGTATCGATTCGACGCGTCGTTGATAGGGGTTGGAGAATGGACGCGCCGGGGTCATCAGTGCTGGCCTAGCCCCATGGGGCCGTTGCGACTTTTTTTCTCTGGCATCAAGTACTTGACGACTTGACAGTCCTTTAACTTGGTTGATTGAGTGGTGACTTCGGACTTGAATTGAGAACTTGACTTGACAAAATGTCAAACTTGATTGGAAAATGCCAAGTTTGAGCTTGACTTGTTAGCCACACTGAGCGAGACTGCCGACCCTTGCTGGGAGAATCGTCAAAGTGCTCCTGGTTATGGATATATGCGCGGAGAATGGCGAGATCTAATTTTTCGATGGGTGTGCCTTCTCTCAATACTACATTCCCAAACAAACATAATTTCTCGTTGAGGGTCACGATGCCGTCACCGTCTGGATATCTTTGGGCCAGCATACTACAACTGAAGAAGGCTGTGCATTTTTTTTCTTGTTCTCGTCTTCTTTACCATCCGCAGTGTCGACATACTGGACTGTGATCTGGAGCCACGGACACTTTTGCTTCGTAGTCTCGTCTTTTTTGATGTCCTTTTTGATGTCCTTTTTGGTGTCGATGTTCCAATACTTTCTCAGCAAAAGCTCGGAAATCGCTATCTGGTGCCACAACAACGCCTTGGATGCCTGCCAACCTGAAAGTTCCCCCATCCGGTCTCAGTTCAGTCAGCTGCAGAAGGTCGAGTTTCTCGATATCGTGTAATGAAGCCTTCCTCGCGTAATATATCTTGTAACCCTCATCGGGCCCGTGCTGAGAAATGACGTAGTATGCTCGGCCGCGCTTGGTATAACGTAGATCTTTTCCGTCGCTGGGAGTGGTGCTAAGTGGATTTATCGAGGCCTCCACAGGTTCGATAACTTCAGACTCATAACCAGAATCGTCGCTCTCGCTTACGAAGAGACCTATTGCACCCTTCTCTCGCGGCTGCCGAGGCTTACCGCCCTTTTCTCCCCTCGGTTTCGCTTCATGCTCATCGAGCTGTCGCCACTGCTTTCGCAATATTTCCAGGTCTTCCGCATTTTGATTTTTATTTGTGCTTCCCTCCGGCTGTTCTTCTCTGAATCATCGACATCCATTTTTTCGTAGTGCTCTAATTCTTCTTCCAGCCCTTCGATCGCACGCAGCGTCGGCGTGACCTTTTTCTTCCTATTACGTAGTATGTCGCGCTCTGCCTTCAACTGCTCAAGTCGTTCTCGCAGCCCCGACATTGCTGCAGATCGTTGAGCCTTGGGCACTTTATATCTGGGTGAGATTGCAGGCATCTTGGTCTTTGAGTTCTGTTAGTTCTTGGCTACCAATGGAAGAAGGCGACATGTATGGGCTACTTATAACAACTCTTTGGGTAAGTTCAGCAAGATTATATCAAGAGTGTTAAGATGAAAGTGGATGGTATATAAGGAATCACGACTTGGACTTTACTGTGAGCAGATCTGTCATGTGAGAATGAAGCTTGTCACTACACCACACTACACTCGAAGCAAATGTCCTGAAATATGCCACATTTCCAAAGAAAAAAAGTTTTTTATATATTATTTTCGAGCTATAGAGTGTGCTGAGGAACTCGGCAGCTATACATCTATATCGGACAAGAATGGCAAGCACGTAGCCGCAGACTTGCACAAGCTAAAGCTTATTCAAGCGTCTTAACAACCAGTGGGGCAAACCATGCAGCCGTTGGCACCCATGATCGGTTCGCAGCCAGGAAATCTGTTGCAGAACTAAAAGATGTAAAGGAAGTGGTCAGTATTTATTTGCCTTGTGAACTGCGTTTCTTCTTCTTCTTCTTCTTCTTCTTCTTCTTCTTCTTCTTCTTCTTCTTCTTCTTCTTCTTCTTCTTCTTCTTCTTCTTCTTCTTCTTCTTCTCTCTCTCTCT